TCCACAGAATGGCAAGAATACAATAAATGGGGAGTGTAGGTATTCGAGTACAATTAGCTAGCAGGTCTTGGCCAGAAGAATACACAAAATAAAGAAATAAAGAAAGGAAGAGAAAGTAACTTTAAGCTAGTTCAAGACTTGAAATACAGATCTCCTAAAGAACAGTCCTTTGGAGACTTGGGATATTACAAAAAACCCCCAACAACCCACTGACACTGATTTCATATTTTGAAGGAGATATACCAGGTCAACAAAGCAGAGTGGGGACATGAGAGGAATGGAACCAGCAAAGGTTTATTGGACAGCAGCATTTTCAACGACCAGTCTAAATGGACTAGAGAGGGCAGTAAGGTAAGCAAACACTGGTCTCTTAGTGTCCTAGGGCTGCTGAATCAAAGATCCACAAGGTGACTTAGAAGAAAGGAAATTTGTTGTCTCACGGTTCTGGAGACCAGAAGTAAGAAATCAAGGTGTCCGCAGGGCCACGCTCCCTCTGAAACCTGTAGTGGAGGGTCCTTCCTGGCTTCTTCCAGCTTCTGGTAGCCCCAAATGACCTTTGGTTTATGGTAGTATAATTTTAATCTCTACCTCTGTCTTCACGTGACATCTCCCTGTGTCTCCTCACATTGTCTTTCCTCTGTATAGGTCTGTCTCTGTGTCCAAATTTCTCCTTTTCATAAGGACACCACTCGACCTCATTTCAACTCGACTTCTCTGTAAAGACCCTATCTCCAAATAAGGTCACATTCGGAGGTCCTGCTGGTGTGGACTTCAACATATCTTTTTTTGGGAGACACAATTCAAGCTATAATGGCTTCCTTGATGGATGTTCGTATCTGAAGTCAAAGTAAACTTAACTCTCATCCACAGAAGCAAGAAAGATCCCACCACTAGAGCCAACATTAGCATCCAGGGAGTTTCATCTCCCAAGCAACTAGGAGCCCTCGTGCAAACATTAATTGCCAAAAAAGGACGATGTGCTCATTTCTCAGCCATACACACCTGTGATGTGTCAAGCCATTTGACATGCCTAGAATGAGAATTCTCCAGTAAAAATAGAATAGAATAAATTAGATGATGATGTTCCAAGGCAATTTATACTTTTCTGTGCTTTGGAATTCATTTTCAAAAACACGTTTTATTTGTCTTTGAAAATCTAAGTTCACTTTCAAGGGCCACTTTTATTTTGCTTTTTGTCCAACCATTAGTGTGTGAACTGGATGATACACAGGACAGTAACCACGGGGGAACTCCTGGCTTAGGGCCACGGAACCAGCAGAAGGCCCCCAAATTTAATGACTGCTTTTGAAAGATTTTGCACATTTTAAAGCCCACTCACCCCTCAGCAAACACCACTCTTTGCCCATTGACAAAACCAGGTTGTCCTCACAAGGCCTCTAGTCCCTTGGAGGGTGGCTGACATCTGAGACCCGAGGTCCAGGGCTGGGAGCCTGCTTGTCCAAGATGCCTTTGTAAATACTGGTCATGCCCACCCATTCCTGCGTGCCCTCTTCTCACCACCAAAACGATTTGAGGATGTGGTGGTTTTAAAGCATGACTGCCAAATTCTTTGACATTCCTCCACTGGGGGGTCTGACACCCCTCTGCCTGAATCTGGATTCTGTGACTTCTTGGGCAGTGGAATACAGTGGGAGTGATTGTGGCAGGAAGAATCCTAAAATGACCCCCATCTTGTATAACCCCCTCCCCCTTGAGGGTGGGTGGGACCTGTGAATATGGTGTGCCATCACTCCTATGTCTGTTACGTTATGGGGCAAAAGCGAGATTATCCAAGTGGACCTCACCTAATCACACGAGCCCTTTAAAAGTTTTCTCCAGCTGGCAGCATGAGAGGGAGTCAGAGATTTGAAGCAGAAAGGGGATTCAATGCTGGCTTAGGAGATGGAGGGGGTGACCTTTAGGTGCTGAGAGTGGCCCTCGGCTGACAGCCAGCATGGAAGCAGGGACCTCAGCCCTACAGCCAGAAACAAGTGAGTTCAGCTCACAAACCAAATGAACTCGAAAGTGGATTCGTTCCCAGAGCCTCCAGATAAGGACCCAGGCGTGACGGACACCTTGATTTTGCCAGAGAACCCAGCCAAACCTGCCTGGACTTCTGACCTGCAGAACTGTGAGACAGTACGTGGGTGCTGTTTTAAGCCGCTACATTTGTGGTAGTTTGTTATTTAGCAACGGAGAACAAATGCAGTGACATTGCCAGTTTCCAGGTCCAGGCTTTAAAAGACTAGCATCTTCCATCTTCTGTCTACTGGAGCGATTGCTCTTTGAACCTGACTGCCCTGCTGTGAGGAAGCCCAGGCAGTCCCACAGGGAGTTCCACGTGGAGAGGAATGCAGACCCTCAGCACAGCCACACCCGGGCCAACTTTGCAGCCTTGTGAATGAGCCGTCTTGGAGGTGGGTCCTCGAGTGCCAGGATCTGCTCCAGCTGACACTACGGAGCAGGACAGGCCATCTCCGCTGAGCGCTGCCCAGATGGCAAAATAAATGATTGTTCTTATTTTAAGCCACTAAGTTTTGGGTTGGTTTAAATAGAGGGTGAAATTTCTGCTGTTTGCCCTGGGCCAAAATTGCTAATTATGTCTCTAATGATATGGTTGATATTAAAGATAACTTCAATAAAGCTGTTAAAGGCATTCCTACACAAGGAGGAGAAATGGCCCTTGCAACTTTAAGAACATGTTGTCCTAGTCGATTTTCCCCCTAGGATTTTGTGAATTAAAGTGTGTAGTGGACAGAGAGTATTTTGCAAATTCCTACTTAAAGAGGGATTTATTAACTTTGTACCCCAGTCAACCACACTCACAAAAATGACAATATTTAATGCTGTTGACGGTGCGGTGAAATAAGTCATCTCAGCCACTGAATGTGGGATCGTAAGTCAGCATAGTTCTGGAAACTAATTTAACTATTCATAATTTTAAAGTGATTAGTGTTTTGACTTATGATTCTAATTAAAAGAGCCTACTGTAAGATACAGTACCAAATGCAAAATAAAAGAAAAAAAACCCCCAACCTTCTATATACATAAATACACTCATCTCAGTATTATTTGCAATATTGAAAAGCTAGAAACAACATAATGTTTAACCACATGGGTGTTCTTACAGCCACTATGATATACTTATAATGATATGATGTTATGTATCATACTGCAGCATATTATTATGAAGCCATTAAAACAATGTTCATGAATGGTTTTTAATGATATGGAACAATGCTTATAATATAGTGTTAAACTGAAAAGGATATAAACTTGCACAGACAACATTATATTTAACTATATAATATGTGAAACTATATATGGTGGTTCAAGGAAAAGATTTCTAGTAGCTGAAATATAGATGTAATTTAATGTTTAATAACAAAGAATTCTTTAAATAAATGATGGTACATCCATAAAACATAACACTTTTTAGCCACTTAAAATTATTTTGTAAGAATATATACATTTATGGAAACACATTTAGGCCATTTGATTAAGTGGGTGTATTGGTTTCCTAGGGCTATTGTTACAAAGTACCACAAATTAGGTGCCTTGAAACAACACACATTTATTCTCTCCAGTTCTGGAGGGTAGGAGTCTGAAATCAAGGTGTCGGCAGGGCCATGCTCCCTCTGAAGGGCCTGAGGGGGAATCCTTCCTTGCGTCTTTCAGCTTCTGGGGGTTGCCAGCAATTCTTGGTGTTTCTTGGCTTACAGATGCGTCTTTCCAATCTCTGCCTCTGTGGTCACACGGCCTTATCCCTGTGTGTCTTCATGTAATCTTCTCTCTGTGTTCAAATTCTCTCTTCTTATAAGGACACCAGTCATGGTGGATTAGGGCCTTCCATAATCTAGTATGACCTCACCTCTATTTAGCTAATTACATCTACAGTGACCCTATTTCCAAATAAGGTCACGTTCTCAGGTTTTGGGTAGACTTGAATTTTTGGGGACACTATTCAACCCTGTATAGTGGGTTAAGTGAAAAAATGCAGATCTCGGGTATAAAATTATATATAATACTTCAATAAAAAGTTAAAAATTATACATGACATACAGACATACACGTTCATAGACACGTAGATGTACGTACACATACATAAGGGATTGGAAGGTTTTATGACAAACACTTTATAGGGGTCTCCCTGGGTGGCAAGGTTCTGGATTCTGCTTAATGACCTCTGTGAATTTTTATGAGTTTTCCACATTGACAACACATTCCTTTTATAACTGAAACAGTAATGAATTTTTTTATTTTTTGCCATTCAAATTGTCAACAATCAAAATAGTGGATGGTGTTGATCACATTGGTTGTTAGCTGCTAGGGGCGATATAACTATCTTGGAGAGATTTTTGGGAATCCAGGATATTTCAGACTTCTTACAGTGTGCATGTCTTCTGACCCAGCAATTGCATTTTTTTTTAAAAAAAATAGGCTTTATTTCTTAGAGCAGTTTTGGGTTCACAGCAAAACTGAGCAGAAGGTACAGAGATTTCCCATATGCCCTCTGTTCCCCCACAGGCATAGCCTCTCCCATTATCAACATCCCCCACCAGAGTGGTACATTTGTTACAATTGATGAGCCTACGTTGACACATCATCATCACCCAATGTCCATAGTTGATCTTAGGGTTCCCTCTTGGTGCTGTGCATTCTAAAGTTTTCGACAAGTGTATAATGACATGTATCCACCATTGCGGTATCACACAGAGTAGTTTTACTGCCCTAAAAATCCTCTCTTCTCTGACTATTTATCCCTCCCCCCAGCAATCACGGATCTGTTTACTGTCTCCATAATAGCAACTACATTTTTTGGAATTGATCCTAAGGAAATCATTAGGCGTATACTCTCTGACCCAGCTGTGATGGTGCTCACCACCTCAAGCGATGTGAAGCCCAACAGTAGGAACAGGTGAAGGTAAGTGATGCGACCTTCAGTTGATCGAACTATGTTTAGTCATTAAAAATAATGTATTTCCTAATTGGGGGCAGAGGTTTGTAGTATATTAAGTAAATGAAATCTAGTTACTAAACAGCAGGTACAGTATGAACGTTTTTTTTTTTTGTGAGGAAGATCAGCCCTGAGCTAACATCCATGCCAATCCTCCTCTTTTTGCTGGGGAAGACCAGCCGTGAGCTAACATCTATTGCCAATCCTCCTCCTTTTTTCCCCCTTTTTCTCCCCAAAGCCCCAGTAGATAGTTCTACGTCATAGTTGCACATCCTTCTAGTTGCTGTATGTGGGATTCCACCTCAGCATGGCCGGACAAGCGGTGTGTCGGTGTGCACCCGGGATCCAAACCCGGGCCGCCAGTAGCGGAGCGTGTGCACTTAACCGCTAAGTTACAGGGCCGGTCCCTAGTATGAACATTTTTTAGCAGATACTTGCCATGATGTTAGCAGTGCTTGTCTCTGTGTGGTGGTCTTAAGAGCAATCTGTTTTAAAATTTTCCACCATTTTTTGTGTGTGTGAGGAAGATTCCCCCTGAGATAACATCTGTTGCCAATCTTCCTCTTTTTGCTTGACGAAGATTCTGCCTGAGCTAATATCTGTACCAGTCTTTCTCTATTTTGTATATGGGTTGCTGCCACAGCATGGCTGCTGACGAGTGGTGTAGGTCCATGCCTGGGATCCGCACCCGGGGTACCGAAGCGGAGTGTGCTGAACTTAACCACTAGGCCATGGGACCGGCCCCCAAATTTTCCTCCTTTTTGCTTCCCTGCGTTTTCTAATTTTTCCATAGTGAATATGTATCACTTTTGTAATAAGGAAAATAATAGAAGCTACTCATTAAAAATTCATAATGCTTATCTATGGGTGATATTGAGAACACAGATGGCTTTTATTTTCTTCTTTATATTAGGTTGAGCCTAATATGAAATCGCTATTTCTGTAGGTGAAAAACAGTTAAATGTGGGCCCTCTTATATGAGTTAACCTACTTTATATTTTAATATTTTCTAAATATTCTAGAGATCATGCTACTTGTATATTTAAATTCCTCAAAGGGCTCCTGTGAAAGGATTGAAAATCATGGCTCTCATACAAATCCAAAAGGTACATATGTCCAAGATCTTATTTAACTCTTTAATTAGTTGAGGGAACCAGTGAGATGTTACAACAGATTCAATGAAGAATTCAAAGAACACACATATATAAGCCATCGTGAATGCTGAAACATTTACAGTCATGTGCTGCATAACGATGTTTTGGTCAATGACGAGCCACCCCATATACCATGGTGGTCCCATAAGATTAGTATCATGTAACCTAGGTGTGTAGTGGGCCATACCATCTGGGTTTGTGTAAGTACACCCTATGATATTCACACAATGACAGAATCGCCTAAGGATGCATTTCTCAGAACATATCCCCTACATTGACTGTACAAATAGATGCAAAACTGGTCAAAATCTGCAGGGCAAAAATCAACTGCATCCTCACCAAAGTTCATTTGCATCTCTGTATACTAGAATCATTTGTATTACTCTCAGTTTCTTACAACTCTGTATTAGTCAGGGTTCTCCAGAGAAAGAGAACCTATATATATATATGTATGTATTTATTATGAGAAATTGGCTTATGTGATTATGGAGGCTGAGAAGTCCCATGATCTACCTTCTGCAAGGTAGAGACCCAGGAAAACTGGTGGTGTAGTTCCAGTACAAGTTTGAAGCCCTGAGAAGGGAAGGGCTGATGGTATAAATTCCAGTTTGAGTCCAAAGGCTTGAGAACCAGGACTGCCATTGTCTGAGGGCAGAAGACCAATGTTTAGGTAAACAGCCAGGCTGAGAGAGAGAGAATCTGCCCCTCCTCTACCTTTTTGTTCTATTCAAGCCCTCAACAGATTAGATGAGGCCCACCCACATTAGGGAGGGCGATCTGCTTTACTCAGTCTACCAATCGATTCAAATGCTAACATCTTCTAGAGACATCCTCACAGACACACCCAGAAATAGTGTTTAACTGGATATCTGGGCATCCTGTGGCCCAGTCAAGTTGACACATAAAGTTAACCATCATGAACTAGCGTTTTAAGTCGTTCAAAGACAGCTCAGGCCCTATTATCAGATAATTCGGTAACCTTCTTAGTCTATTTCAAATTTTTTCACTGCTTTCCTGATATTCCTTTTTATATTTGAAGATAAAAACTAAACTTCTGACTGTACCTTTGGGCTGGACCCTGCCCATCTAAGCCCCCTCTGCCTCCCAGCCCTCTGCATCGGTTCCCATGAGCCTCTTTAACTTCTCTGGTGAACCAGGCTTCCTGCCACCTGCCCCCAGGCCTAGACGCACATTGTTCCCCCTGCCCCAGAGGGTGGTCCTCCCGGCCCCTCCACCTTCCTACCTGGTTAACTCCTAACTGCCCACCCACCAGCTGAGCCCAAACCCAGTTTCCTTGGAGAACCCCGCCCCCTTCATCAAAACTTCCTTCAGAGACTTTACTGCAATTTGAATCACAGTGTGAATATGTTTTATGTAAATCTGAACTTTGTGATTTTAAAATAGCTTAGGCTAAAAATATTAGTAAAATCTCTCTTTATGCTCAAACTTTGAAATAATGCAAACCTCCCAAATTTCGAAAAAAAAAAAAAAATGTTCCTCAGGATCACACAGTTTCAGAGCTGCATTTCCAATGACTTGTAAATCGTGTTTTCACTCTGGTCCCAGGGGCAGCTGCTCAGGAGCTGGTGGACAGGAGAAGCCCAGGCCCAGGGTTGGCAGTGGGGGCCCTCCACTTGCTACAGACCTTCTGAGAGTGGTTATTATTGTTATATATATGCATTTTGTTATGGCACTTGTAGGGGGCCCGAATATGCCACTCCAAAATATGCCACTTTGGCAGAAGGATTATTTTAAACTGAAGATGATAGAGCAGGCACCAAACAAACTCCCTGCCCTCCCCTCTCTTGTATCAGGAAGGGCAAAATGGTCTTAGTCACTGGACACTCTTATCAGAATCTACATAATGAACTTTACCAAAAGCAACCCTTATCTTCCATTAGTCTCCCCTATATATTCACCTGCCCACAGTTTGCTGCCCCTCAAAACCTAAACTCCTTTTTCTTCGTCTTGTCACTTCTCTATGAATTTATTGTCTTGTTAAGATTCTATCTAAGCCTGAGTCCTAATCACTTCTTTGAGTTACTCATCACTGTGTTTCCCCTGCAGGTACGTGTGCTGCACGTGTTAATAAGCTCTTGTTTAATCTCTCTTTTGTCAATTTAATTTCCAGGCCCTCAGGCACAGAACTGAAAAGGGTAGAGAAAAATTTTTTTTCCTTCCTTACACACTCGTTGTTATGAGAACTTAAAATTTTCTCAAAGCTGTAACAATATTCTCCAGTAGCAGTGCTGAGGCTAAGGCTGGGGCTGGAAATCTTGATGAGGAAAGTCAGCTGTGATACTGTGCTCTGAAGGCCAGTTCTCATGATTCCCAGTGATGACTGATAGTCTAAATATTAGGACTGAAGCTGAGAAAATAAAAAAGCTCATCAGGGCCAAAATGAGCTATATGCACCTTAGATTTTTATTTCTGTGGTTCGTTGTTCTGCAATTATTTGAGTTTTGAATTATGCTAGGCCATCAGGGACACAGCGCTTGAATAAGGTGGTATGATCCTGTGTATATTTGTTAGATTATTTGATTAATATGTTAACTCTGTGAGTCTATCTGTTTTGCTCACTGTTTTTCTGACCAGCTCCTAGCACAGGGCCTTGTAGGAGAAGGAAAAAAAAAAACTTTTCCTCTACCCTTTTGGGTTCAGTGTTTGGGGACTGTGAATTAAACTGACAAAAGACAGTTTAACAGGAGAAAAGGTTTATTCTGCACGCATATGGAACCAACAAAGGAAGTAGCAGGGTCATTAAATGGCTGGAGTTAAAGGCTTACATACCTAACTTAGTAGGGGAAATGGAAGAGGGGAGAACAAATAGGTTTATTTAGGAAAGACAAATAGATTTTTAGAAGAACGAATGAGAGATAAGAAAGTTGGTGATAATGTTTGTCTATACAGGTATGAGTGGTCTTTCCATCTTATTCTGGGTCATAGACTCTCTTGGGGAAGGGATTTGGAGTACGTTATTTACGTTCTCCCTTCTGGGGGTAGATCCACCCTGAAGAGGAATTTATGGCAGCCTTATTTCCCAGAACTTGCTGCTTTTAGTGAGAAAAGGGAAGCTCTGAGAAGGCTTTTTTGCATCTGTTGAGTCTCAAATGTCTTCAGCTTAAAATAACTTTTATGCCAAACTGACATATTTTTGGGGTGGCATATTCTGATCCCCTTCAACTGGAAGGCACAGCATTTTCCCCTATTTATTTACTTCAGGGTCTTACTCTAAATGTCTGACCCACACCTTGTGTTTGTGCCTATCCTGTGCAGACACCCTTGACCCTGAGTCCCCTGACAAGATTAAAACGTACTGAAGGAGACAAGCCAGACATTCAAAAAGAACTGCACGAGAGCAGACAGTTTAATAACGGTGCCGCGCATCAGGATTTTGGGAGATGGTCTTTCCAGCAATTGTCACGGTGCTCTGAAAAACCAAGTCCCTTTGTTCTGAGGCACTGGGGTGGGGTGTGGGAGGGCTGCAGAAAACCTCTCAACAGTTCTGGTGCAAATACGCCACAGGAAACCGCTTCACTCCTCAAGGTGGCCGCGTTCCAGAGGACTTCACCCTTCGGCCTTTTTTTTTTCTTTCACAAAAGAACCCATTCTTGTGGATGTGGAGGCGCCTGGCTGGGAGAAGGAACCGGCTTCACCGGCCGCTGGGATCTGTGTCAGAGGCCAGGAAGGAGCAGGGTTGGCCAGGCTGCCGCCCACGGGCAGGAAGGAGCTGCCAGCCTCCAGTTGGTGGAAGACGACCAGCAGGCCAGCTTGGGACCCATTCTGGTCTTGGCTCTGTGGGACTCGAGAAAGGCTCAGAGGAGGAACAGGGAGGGCAGGCCGAGTAGGAGGACAGCCTTGGCCCCGCGGCCTTGGCAGTCTCAGCCCAGGCCGGACTTCCGTCCTGCTGCTGGTCGGGGCTGGCTAATGATTAACAGGAAATGTGCCGCCCTGGGGCACCCACACCTTCCGGGGCGAGGAGCCTGTGGCAGGTGGAGGCCACCTCTGGGTTTATAGCCTGGCCTGTGACGTGACAGAAGCATTTGGGAGGCACTTCCTGTTAGCTGGTGAGGACAGGCCGAGATTCTCTGGTGGCCAGACAGATTTGCTCCTGCGTTTGTGTGGAGACAGGACAGAGGCCAGGAAGCCTTTTGGGAACGAGAACCTTCGCTGATGTCCTGAAGAGATTTCCCTGCCTGAGTGAGGTGAGAGCTCCTGGGTGTGCCTCCCGGCGGGGTTTGTCTGGTGGGTTTCTTCACTGGGACCAGGTCTCCTCCCAAGGAGCAGGGGACCAGGCCCCCGGAGGCCATCAGCTGTCTCCCAGGGAAAGTGTTGGACGATCAAACACATATTCTTTGTTTCCCAACTTCCAAGAAGTTAAAGATTAAAAGAGCTGGCTGCTCTGAGCGTGTAGGAATTCGAGACGATCTCTGATCTAGCGAGTGTCCCTTTCATGGGGAGCTGTTCTTGGGGATGCGCTGAGAGCCGAGACTCCGCTGGAGTATGGGAGATCAGGGTTCAAATGCTGGAATATTCCTGTGACTCATGTTGTTCGTCGGACAGATTTTGAAATGCCATTCTTCTCCCCCCTAATGAGAAGGACAGGAGACTGGCTCTGACGTCTCTGGAAGTGCTGAGTTGGCCCTCAGTCGCAGGCCTTGCCGAGGCACCTCCTGTTGTAAGGGTGCACAGAGCTGGGGTTCAGGAGTGGAGGAGAGCGCTGGGGCCTGTCCATTAGGCCTGCAGGTCTGCAGCAAGCCCGTGGAGTGGATGTTGTTGCCGCTAATTCTCACTAACCCTGAGAAGCACTTGCCTCCTTTCTTTTAGAGTTTGGTTCTCGTGCTGTTGCCTAAAACAGGACGTTGGCACACACCTTTGGGTTTTATGATATCCAGCTATTCCTTAGAACCCCCAGGGAAGGGTTTGTGTGCGTGGTAATTAAGTGAGATGATCAAGTTCAGCAGTTTTCTTCCTATGATGACTAGCTTGGTGGGTCCAGATGGACAGTCTGAGTTTTTTTTGCCTTGTTAGGGCAGGAAGGAATTGGTTGAGGGTTAAAATCCTGTCTATTTCATAAGATTTAAGATTTTAAGAAGACTTCACAGTTTTTCCACTAAAAGTAGCTAATGCAAGTCTTCCATAATGAAGGAACAAGAAGGTAAACCTCAAAGACACATCCAACTACTGCATAGAGATATTAGCTTGCAAATTACCCAGCATTCAATTAAAGCGACTTGCCTGATTTGAGTTGAAACTTGAAATCAACCTTATGAAGTTCCTCCCTGCACACACCCTTCACATACCATCCCCGCACAAATCCACGTCTGTAGTAACCTTACAACTGGGTTCCTATGCTGCCCGCCTGTGAGTTCTGCTGGGCCCATTAGAAATGGAGTCGTTCATTCTCTCATACAGACAATAGGGGAGGATGGTGTGTGAGGAAGGGGCAGAATGGAGCATTTGACCGTTAGGTCATCTGTTCTTTGTCTGCAGCCTGCCTCCCTTGCTTATCAGCGACTAGAAGTATTTCCTAGTGGACTCTAAGCTGTTGCCACGGTTTCAATAATGCCCAGTCCACGCTTTGCATTTATTGATTTAGTAAGAGGTGTAACCTTTTATCACTCGATGGCTCCATTTCTCCTTCATCCTGTGCTTGGATCTTGCATTCCAGGTGACTGGTAAAGCAACTGACTTGTCAAGTTGTGTTCACTGAACCTTAAAATTAGTAAATGATTTATTTGGCTCTTCGTAATTCGGGATCTTGAATCAATCTCGGAAGGCCGTGATTTCAGTCCGGTTTGTGTACAGCTACTGTACACTTGCTATTAAGGCATATGTTCAGGGATTCGCAGGGTCTGTTTTAGATCATTGCAAGGGGCAGGGTTCCACGACAGAATGCACCGCAGCACAGATGCTTTGAACCTCACAGTACCGCACACGAGTGGTTATAGTTCAGCGCACATGCTGAATTCTGCTTTCCAAAGATATGAGAGAAACGAGGGGATGGAAGCCCCATGTTCCTTCTCAGGCCCTGTGAATACCCAGTAATAGTGTGGGTCACGGGCCTGAGCCCATGTGATCCTTCACACTACCTCTGTTTTACTCAGCAGCTTGTAGGAGGGTGTTTCCTGGACTGAGGTGTGGAGGTTATCTACCTGCGCCTACTTCAGATTTTGTATTTCTGCTTGTGGGCTGCTGTGGGGTCTGCCTCCCACGGTCTGTGAGAGAGTAAAGGAGACCGGAGCCCTGGATGAGTGTGTCCACTCATTACAAAATCCCACACGGGTCCCTGATGGAACCTAGCACCCCAAATTTGGGAGGGACGAGGTGGATCCCCCCAGCAGGGCTGTCAAATCTGCACGACTCCAAAGCGAAAGCGAAAACCGCTCTCCACTCACTGTGTTCCACAGGTCAGCGGTGTTGAGGAATGTTTGAAATAAAGAGACCCTTCCCTGAGGCTCAGGAGCGGTTGTCTTTGCAGACAATTCCCCATAAGTTCAGTGGGTGATTTAACTCTAAGTCCTCCAGCCAGACCGAGCAGTGCTGGTGACTGCCTTGGACAGGCCTGTCCCAGGGGGGAAGGAAAAAATAAAAAGAAAAAATGCAGAGGGGCCGGCCCCATGGTGTAGTGTTAAGTGCGCACGCTCCGCTGCTGGTGGCCCAGGTTTGGATCACGGGTGTACACGGACTCACGGCTTGTCAGGCCATGCTGTGGCGGGGGTCCTATATAAAGTGGAGGAAGATGGGCACAGATGTTAGCCCAGGGCCAGTCTTCCAGCAAAAAGAGGAGGATTGGCATGGATGTTAGCTCAGGGCTGATCTTCCTCACAAAAAAAAAGAAAAAATGCAGAGATGGAGGGTGAGCAGGAGGGTTATCAAAGAACAAATGTTTTGGAAGGAAGGGCCAAGAGGCCTACATGACACTATCCCTGTGTGCTGCTGAGGGGCCAGTAAGGCCTTCCTCCATCTACCCTGATCTCTCCCCCTTCCTCTCACCCCACACTCTGCCCCAGCCCCAAAGCCCTCTCTGCAGTTCCTCCAACACTCCAGGCACAGTCTCACCCCAGGGCCTTTGCACCTGCTGTTCCTCTGCCTGGAAAGCTCTTCTGCAGATAGCCACGTGGCTGTCACCTCACTTCCTTCACTGTTCATGGAGCACCTTCTCAGGGAGCCTTTCTCTGCCCTCCCTATTTGAAGTGATAGCCAGCCCACCCCATGCACACGGCCCCTGACACACACTCCTCCCTATTCTATTTTTCTCCATACCTCTTGCCATCTTCCAGTAGGCTTATGATCTATTTCTTTATTTTGTTGCCTGTTTTCCCTTTAGAATGTAAACTCATTATGGGCAGGATTTTTTTTTTTCTCAGTGATGAAAGTATCATGATTGAAATGCATAGCAGGAAACCCACACCCAGACACCTCGGTCAGTAATTCAGCGGTAACGGTATACCATCTGCATCTCATAATTTATACATGGCCTTGGGAGTAAGATCATTTAATACAGTGATTCTCAAAGTTGGGCATGGACCAGAATTGGAAGATTGTTTAGTTGTTCAGGCAGATTACTGGGCTCCCCCCGGAGTTTCTGATCCAGCAGGTCTGGGGTGGGTCCAAGAATTTGCTTTTCTAACAAGTTCCCAGGTCAGGCTGGTACCACTGACCACGCTGAGAAGCTCTGATTAATCCATCCGCGGACCGTGGGAGCTGCTGGGGGCTGCACATGCTCTGACGGTAACTGCCCATCACTGATGCACTGTGACCTGCGGCTTTGTTTCCCAGGGGAGGAAGAACATGCGGAGATGGAGAGCGGCTGCAAAGGCGTCCTGGCCGTGCTGGTGGTCCTGGCTGGGCTGGCAGGTAAGGATCACGGGGGCTCAGAGGGATGTTCCTGGGCGTCCACTTGGAGTGGGCAATAAGGAACCCCAGACGAGGCTGCCAGGACACACGGCTTCCAGAGAGTCTTCCTTAGGCACTCTCCACCGCGTCCCCTTCCGTCCGTGCCCTTTTGAGTGGGGTCCATTTCCTGCCACGTCCCCTCAAGTCCAGGGTCGGTCCTCCAGGTGCATCTGACCCCACCAGGCCTCTTTGTTGGGGTCCTCGCCGTCCTGGGAACGTGCCTTCAGTACTTTCCCACATGTCATCGCTCTCGTGGAAATGTCCCTCCCCTGCCTGGTTTTTCTCCTCTTCTGTTTCCATCCGGTCTTCAAGGAAGGCCCAACTCAGCATCACCTCCTCCTGGAAGCTTTCCTGACCTTGCAGTTTTTGGGATGATAATCCCAGGTCCATTTATTGACAGGGTGAGGGGCCCCTTGTGTGTGATTCCCACCCCCCCACAGCTCCTCCTCGTCGTGAGACCCTCCCAGGGTGTCAGTTAGAGTGGACTCCAGGGTGTCCGAGGCCAGGCTCTCCTGATCAGGAGGAGGAGTGGGCGGGCGCGGGGGCCTTAGGTAACTGGAGTTTGGACCCCCAGCTTTGCTTTCACTGTGTCTCGTCTAGATTTCATTGCTTCAGGTGCGTTTGTCTCATTTTCCTGGCTAGATTTTAACCTCCGGGTCCTCCTCCTGTATTCCTCACTGCAGAGATTTTAAGGCATCGTATTGAAGAATAATACACACACAGACAAGTGTGCAGATCCTGAAGGTACAGCTCGATGCATGTTCACAAGCCGAATACCTTCCTGTGTCAATAGTGAGCCTAGAACGTTCCACAAATGCTCCCTCTCAGTCACTCCCTATCCCTTTCCCCCCAAAGTGGCCGTGATCCTGACTTCTAACTGCATAGATAAATTTTGCACTTTCTCTACATATGAACCCTATTTTAGATGGCTGGATAATGTTTTTTTTTTTAAAGAAACTCTGGCCATGACAGCATTGAACAATTAAAATGGAATAAAATAGAATAGGGACTATCAGAGGTGTTACATGCAGTAAGTACTGTTTAGAAAATTTTGGTTTTGGGTATTACATGTTAAGGCTCTGGGTCCCAGGCTGTGGTGGTAAAATGCATTTGGAGGCAGCAGAGATGTTCAGAAGCCCCTCCTTATAGCAGGCAGTGCTAAGCGATTAGTAGGTGCTTGGAAATATTTGTTCACAGGGCGGACAGGGATGCAGGGTCCCTACTTGTGTAGAGCTTGGGGATTCATCGTGGGGCGAGCAGACCACGCTCTGTGCATGTGTTAGGGAGATGGCTCCAGACGGGCCTGTCTCAGCCACGGTTGCAAAAGTCTTTTCCAGGGGTTTAGTGGGAAACTGACAAAATCTGGGTCTATAGTTTTTCTGAGACATTTTTCCTAAAGTCTGTTTTGAAGGCAGGGATGGCTTTGGTCGAGGCCTGGAGACGGCTGTTCTGGGAAGGGAGAGTATTATGGGCTCATTCTAGAGCCCCCGGGGATGGGGTCCATTGCAGAAGACTGAGCCCTGCGGATGCTTCCTCTTGGAAAGTCTTAGGGTAAAGACACCCTGTTTGTAGACTTGGCTTTGAGTAGCTGAGGGCAACCTCCATGTGCACCCAGAGGGCTCCAGCCTGCCGTCTCCTCTTTACTTGGCCCCCAGTGTAACGGATTATATAGAACTGGACCACCTAGTTTATTCACTCAGTGAACAGTCACTGAAGGTCTGTTATGTGCCATTTACTTGCAGGCACTGGGATGCAGGGATGGGCAAAACCAGGCCTAGTCCTTGCTAACAAAGAGCTTAAAACCTAGTAGGGGAACCGGGCTTTAATTGACAAAAAAAAATCTATATAAAAACACCACTGTGACAATTGCGTCACTGACTCGAAAGCCTGTTATAGGATAGTTTAACCTAAACATGATGGTCTGGGGAGGCTCCCTGAGGAGAAGATGACATGGCCAGGAGCTAGGGAGTAAGCAAGACTGGCACACCATGTTGTCAGTGCCTGTGGAAAGGCCCTGGGGCCAGAAGAGTTGGTGAGTTTGATACATTCAAGTTGGTCAGGTGGTCAGAGGGCAGAGTTGAGGGCACAATGAAGCTGGAAAGGAAGTCGATGTGAGATGAAGCAGGCTCTGAAGATACTGTTAAGGATTATCTGGTCTTTATCCCAAATGATGGAAATATTTTAAACAAAGTCTGGGGTGTGGGGGTGGGAGGCAGGGGAGGGTACCTGGTCCCAATGGTGTGTTGAGAAGCTGCCTCAGGCTGCCACGTGGAGAGCAGCTTTGGGTGGTGGTGGTGGCAGAGCGGTGACGCTGGCACCTCCTGCGGTGGTCAGCAGGACTCGGCAGGCAGCTCAGACCTGCCTGGGGAGCCCCTCCCTCACTTCTCAGTTCCCTTCTGACGGTCCCAACCCCCGATGTGTTTTGACTCCCATTTTCTCCTTCAGAGCCGCCTCACCAGGGCAGTTCTCATCCATTGCTCTCCACTTTATTTCCCTTTGTTCCTTCTGACTTTTAATTGTCTGCTTTTCTGTTCATTTCCAGTGGTAAGTAAGAGATGGGGGAAGGTGAGGGATCTATGGTGCAGTGAGGCAAGCTGGAGAAGAGCAGAATGGGAGAACAGAGGGTTGGTTGGTGTAGACCTGCCATGTCCTCTACGCCAGGGAGACAACCGGCTACTCTTCCAGGGAGCCGAGAAAAAGCCATCACAGAAGAATGGTCCTTCTGTTTAGGATCAATTTATGGAGGACAGGTGGGAGCCATGAGGCTGGCAGACGTGCTGTGGTATGAAGGATTTCAGTTTTGCAGATGTTGGGATGCAGGGAGTAGAGGAAGAGAAGCTTCTTGATCCCGGGTGGCAGCCAGCCGTTTCCACGGAGATGCCTGGTGGAGTAGGGTCCATAGGGCAAGAGAGAAAGCAAGAGGGCGGGGCTGGAGACATGGCTTGGGGAATTGGAGAGTGTTGGTGTGAGTAAGAATCTTGCAAGTGGATAAACTCCTACAAGGGAGGACCTGGCGTTGGCTGACCACCGTAGCTGGTGGCCGATGGAGGTTCCTGGGAGGAGGGGGACGCCGATCTTTCCTGTAGCTCTGCCCCTGATTTGACTCTTTGCTCTACAAAGTGAAAGGGAGAGCAAAGCGGGAAGGGAGGTTTCGTGCTGAGGATCTGCCTGTTTGATTAAAGGTCTTATTTACAATTTTCCAGTATTGGTTCCGTGTAGGGCAGGGTTACACCCGCCACCAAGCTGATAGGACATGGGTGAGAGAGGAAGGAGACTCCAGGACCGCACGTTACCGAAAGTACAGCTTCTGAGTCACCAGGCAGAGCTGGACGGGTGTTTACTTGTGATGGTAACAGAGATCGCAGGCAACGCTGTCATGGGAATTTAGTACCTAGGATTTGGTGCCTCCTGTTTCATTTAAAGGTCAAGTTCAAACTGGGAGAGTTTCCATTTGACACAGGTCCCTCCTTCCTTCCCTCTCACCTCCCCAGCTGCAAAGTAAGGTGTGTCACCTGCGTGTATTCTTGGTCACACGTGCATTCTGCAGGATATCTAAAGACTGGCTTGGAGTGAACAGTGTTCAGGAGTGAAATAATCTCTCTACCTCACACAAGGCCGTGAAGGAATCACGATTTCAGATGGCTTTGCTTATTCTGTAGGAGTTGCGTAGATTGAGCTCCTCGCAGGGCAAGCCTGGGTCTCACTAGTCCCTGCACTCCCCACATCCAGTCCCGCCGGGCTCTGTCCAGTGAACTCCTGTGGACCTGAGTCAGGAGCGGGGAAGAATGTCCTTATCATAGGATGGAGAATGAAGCACACCACGTCCCATCTTTCTTTCCTTGGGGTGTAGATTTGGCTATTTCTTTTCTTTTGTCTTTTTTCTTAAGATGCAATTCAGGGCTCGTGGAAAGAGCCAAGTTGGCACAGTGGCTGTGCCTTCCCTTCCTCAGGCTTTTTGCCTTTTTAAAAATCCAAGATCAGAGGGATCCTTGGACTGAGCGACTTACCCAGGGGTAGGGGAGATGACCCAATGTGAGTTGTTATTTAGAGTCACCCTTTCTCTCTTTTTCTCTCATGCCCAGAGACAAAACAAAGAACAGTGAGCGTGTTTACCCAAACTCAGGGTTGGTCTTAGTTAATTCTGACCTTCCCTCAATTCCACCTCTTTGGGTGCCCTCTTCGACCCTGGCTGCCTCACTGCCCAGTCCTGGTTTCTGGGGCCCTGTCTGTGCAGTGGTTCATTCTCTCCATTGACCTGTTCCTGCAGTAGACAATGCATTCTGGGTACTCAGGTGAAGCGTTAATGTGTTAATGTGTGTCCAGTGGTGTGGTTCCTCTGCAGAAACCTTCAGGGTTGTGATGAGATTCTTTTAGAACCTGCCTTACAACTTGACCTTATAAAACTGGAAGGAAAGGAGGGAGCTGCAGTTATCGGGGAGCACCCAATGTCTACGCCAGGCTGCCTGGTCCACCCACAGGGATCATACAGCTCCAGAAGGTAGTAGGAACCCATCGCAGTCTTATTGATGTGGCAGGCATGGCTGAGAAGAAACCAAGGAGTGTGGTCTGCCGGGGGGTCTTTTTGTTATACACTCTGAGTGAGATCAGAGGGGAAAGAGTGGGAAAGAGGGAAAATTCAGAGTGGGAAGGTCTGAGTTTGGGTCCCTGCTCACCACTGTGATCACAAGTCCTGGGATGTTGCTGGTCTTCATTTCCTCATCATTAAAACACAGGTGGTAAAAAGGTGAGAATAAGAGATCTTGAAGACTGTTCCAGTGCTCTGCAAGTGCTACTTCGAATTGTTATTACAAACATGGGAAAGTCTAGGAAAAGTCCGGCTGCCAATTTGCTCTTCTAGGGTGATAAGAAATCAGTCCTAAATGGCCAAAAGATTTCTTGAGTTCTTCAGGTGCAGAACACACTCCATCTCAAGTGATTATGACTGAGTTCACATGGGCTGGAAAGCCTTTGGTGCACTCCATGTGGAAGACCAGTCAGAAGTTGTCATTCCAGTTAAAACCAGTGTCACAGTGCATCTGCTGAGCGAAGGCTGAAAGTTGTGAAGGGCATGAAAGAAACAGTTTTATTTTAATCTATGATTTTCTTGGCTCATCTTGTAGGTCGACACAATCCCTTCTTGCAGGTCGACACAATCCCTTCTTGCAGGTCCACGCAATCCCTACTCACAGGTCCACGCAATCCCTTCTTACAGGTCAATGCAATCCCTTCTTGCAGGTCATGTAATAGTGACTATTTACTGAGTGCTTGAGGGTCATGGTAAGGGCTTTACATGCGTCGTCTCATTTGGTTCCTAAAAAAAATTCACTGTGGTACTAGCATCCCTGTTTTGCAGCTGAGGGAGAGAAGTTGAGAAAACTTGCCCAGTGAGCCAGGAACCTCACTCTGGAGTCTGTGTTCTTACAGTCTAGAACCAGTTGCCTGCCTGTTGGAGTTTTAAACCTGACACTAGATGTGGTGAAACTTTTTACCGAGATACCAAATGCATCCCTTGAGCGTTCTCAGAAAGGGATCCACTGTCCTGCATCCTTCTACCTATTTCCTTCTCTCTGTATCTCCCCCACCTGTGTCTCTTCAAGTCCTTAGGAGGAGGGGTGTGGCCTCAATGACAGTACCATCCTTTTGAGACTTGGCGACTGAGTTTCCTTTTACTCCATGACGGTAAACTCATGATGCAACTTTTATCTCTCTCCAGCTGTATTGCTTCTGTCTCAACCTTGTTCATCCTCCAGCCCCAGACACTGTCCTAAACACCCCATTTGGGAGCTCTAAGGATGCAGGGGCACGCAGTGGGCTGTGATCACAGCATGCTGAGGTCCTCACCCTCTTTGTGAAGAGAAGATACTTCCTTCTTTCTCCTCTGAGCCTTTGGATTTCCACAGAGGTGGAAATCAGATTTCCTCCCCATTTCACTGGGAGGAAAATTCTCATTTCATAACGAGGCTGGAAAACTCGCCTAAATTAACAGAGCCGGGCTAGTGGTGGCTCTCTGGGCCAGGCTGGGGTCAGATACTTAAGGTAACATCCCTCCAGAGCATTGCTTCCTCCACTCCCAATCCTGCTGGGAGTGCCATGTACTGTGGATTGAAGGGAGGGGAATGGAAAGCAGGGGTGGGGGTGGCTTCCTGTCCACTGGACGCTCCTGATCTACTGGGAGATCTGCTGTTGGTACCAGTAGCACATGGAGTCTGAGCCATTGGACAGTCACCCAGGGGTCACAACTGGTACAAGAAGGGTTAAATTGTACAGGTGACTTATGTAGATTCATTCACTTATCACCTTGAAAAACTGATTGTCTTCCAGCTTCTGGATCCAGCTATGAAATCATAGAAGGTCCCAAGAATGCAACGGTGCTGAAGGGCTCAGAGGCTCGCTTCAACTGCACTGTCTCGCCTGGCTGGAGGCTCATCATGTGGTCTCTGAATGGTACTGTGGTTCTGAGCATCACGCCCACGGAGCCCATCATCACCAATGACCGCTTTACCAATGCGAGTTATGAAGAGGGCGGTAACTTCGTTTCTGAGATGATAATCCATGATGTGCAACTCAGTGATGCGGGGCATATCAAATGCAGCCTCCAGAACAGTGACCGGGATGCATCCGCCTTCCTCTCGGTCATAGGTGTGTATACAGGTGGCTCCGAAGCAGGGCATATGGAGTCCATTAGGTTAAATGTCAGGGAAATGGAAGGAACCTTCTGAAGTTCATGTCATGTAAGATGACATATGGGGTCTACTTTCAGTTGGTGTCATGCTTAGAATTATTCTGAACAGACTAATATTTATTGTTTTATGTGTTTATTTCTCTCTTCCCTTCCTCACTGAGTCTCTTTCTACTTCCTTTCTTCCTCCTTCTTTCCCTTTATCCTTCCCTCTTTCTTTTCCTTTTTCTCTTATTAAGACTCTTAAAGACAGGTTTTATCACTTTCCCATCTAATCCATTTCAGAACCTAATAGCTTTTCTGGAAGTACATCCTGGAATTCTTCTGGGGCCAGTTGCAATGACTTGTATTTGATTTAGAGAGAATTGACAATCATTGCCTTTTCTCTAGTTTTTCATATATGTGACTCTATTTCTTTTATCATTTATCAACTTTGAATCATGTTTTAACTTTTTCCTCTTTCCAGCTCAGTCCCCTCAATCTATATTACTCTTTCCTGCCCCTAGTGGTTCTTGGTAGTCAAAGATGTGTGTTCACTAAACATACCAAGTCTTTAGAAAAGAGTGAACAAAATTTATAATAGTGGATAACTTATTTTTCATTTTCAAAGGTAATTTTGAGGTGATGAATTCAGATCATGCTACATAGTGAAAAAAAAATAAAAGAATGCTTTACAAGGATTCAGAACATCTTTATCAAAGTTTAATCACTTTGCATTCCTTAAAAATGTAATTACATACTATTTATATAATTACTCCAATTATTTATGTATTTATTCCAATTTAGATGCATCAGAGCTTGTCCAGCTCCTGATTTCTATGGCAGCATTTTTAATAACAGACCACATTGTGTCTTTCAAATTTTTTCTTATATCTATTTATTTGCTTGTCTAGGAGAAATTCCCAAAGATTTGGTGTGTCTTTGCGTTGCTATCAAATCAAATTTGATAACATTTGGTGGAGATACATGTCTACCCATTTCTACTTGCATTTTTTTGTTTATCCAAATTGGCGTGTCTTTACTTTGATGTGTCTTTAATTTTGCATGGTTTAATTAGGGGCACAATGATATTTTCTAAATAAGTGATTTTACGACGCTACCTGGACTATTGGCCTAGTTTGCACGGCCAGATTCTTGTTATAATAATTTGTGGTATAAAGGAAAGAACACAGGAAAAGGAATCAAAGATATGAATTCTGGTTTTGCTTTCATCCGTAACCTACCTTAGTGACCCCTGAGATGGCTCAATTTCTTTATCTTTATAGTGGGGGTAAGGGTCCTCTGCCCACCTCGCAGATTTACTGTGCGGATTAGATAAAAACATGTCTGAGGATGGTTTGAAAACTCCAAAGCCCTGTCCGAGTCAATTTACTGCCCATGAAATTGAGGGGCCGGAGTCGTCTAGTAGTTAGTGGTGCAGACTTGGGAGCCCATCTGCCAGGTTCAAGTTCCAGCTTTATCACTGGCTAACTGTGTGATCTTGGACATGTTACTTAATGACCTTGTGCCCTAGTTTCCTCATCACAGAGCTATTGTGGGATTATGCAAAGCCTTTAGAACAGCACTTGGCTCTTAGCAATTCCCACATAGTCATTTGCTGTTATTTACTGCATTCCCAATAGCAGCCCGCATCGTGTTGGGCATTTAAGGGGGACTCAAAGATGAATAGAATGAGACACAGTTCTGCCCTCAAGAACCTTCCAGGAAGAGTGGATGATGCAAGTGCATGAATAATACTGGTGCAACGTAGATGCTGGCAAGTGCAATGGGAGGGAGACAAGCTCAGGCTCGAATTGGGAAGGGAGATGAGAGAATCAGCAAAGCCTTCAAGGATGACTCCATGGAGAACATGCCATTTGAGATGTGCCTCAAAGGTCTGTAGATGATAGGAAAATGGGGAAGCAAGAGGGGAGGAGGGCATCCCTGGATGAAGGAAACATCTGTCAAAGGCATGACTTATTACTGCTATATTGGACAGATGGCATATCCAATTCATAAAGCCATGTGGTTTTATAGCATCTTTTCCCAAAGCTATAAATCTACAAAGTTATCCCAAAACCCCTAACATGCATTTTTATATGTTGGTAATTACTGTAGTTTTTGGTTTTAATACAGATGGAAGAACAAGCATCTAGGGAAGTTAAAGTCTTCCCCACGGTCATGTGGAAGGAACCCATAGAGCGGGGACAGAACTCGAGCATTTTACCCTGGTTCCATCGGTCTCAATGGCACTTTGTTCTTAGAGGAACAAATGTTCTCTGAGCAACAGGGTGTCTTTCAAGGGAAAAGAATCCTGAAAAAAAGAGGGAACATCCAATTTATTTTGAAAGTGAATTATCCAAAGATTGTTTTTGTTTTCCTCCTCGTGTATTAACAAGAAAAATAAAGAGAGCTTACATAACTCCATGTTGAGTCCTCCAAAATCCATGTGAATTTTCTAGCCATCACCTGTGTATAAAATCTCTGTCCTGCTACTGAATAACCTTTGTGAAAGCCAATGGGAAAAGTTGAATTGCAGATACATACAGAAAAAGGAAATGCTTCAGATTGCTGCATTTGTCCATTAATTGCCCAATCCTCCAAATAATCACACACTAAACTCTAGACTCCTTGTGTTTTGAGGACCACTAGGACCTGAGTTCAAGATCTTCTGTTGTTAACTGAGGCAATACCGTTCCTCCTGTTTCTGACATCTTAAACCTCTCCATCAATGAAATAATGAAGGAACAAAACAGAACAAGCACAGAACCCTTTCGCCTAAGAGACAAATCTGTTCCCCTCTCCTTGGTGCATTTACACTAATCTTTGAATTAGCAAAGGTGCTTACTTACTCCAAGAGACTATTCAGGAAAGGAATAGTTGGAAATCTAACATTTCAGAGTCAGAAGAGCTTTCAGAGCTGATCCAGTTCTGTCTAGTCTGGGAACTCCCAGGTGTTTCCAAGACCCTTTCAGAGTGGTCTGTGAAGTCATGACTGTTTTCATAATAATGCTAAGATGTCACTTGAATTTCCCACTCTCATTCTCACAACTGCACAGGGAGTTTCCCACTATCCATGGGGAAGGTCTGCACAACTCAGTGGACTGGCGTTTTCCAAAGACTGATATGTAATGATACACAAAATCATGCAAGGGCAAAAGATCCATTCAAAGTGCCAGACAGAGCAATGGACTTTAATGTAACAGAGAATGCAAGTTCCTTTATATAGTTTCAGATTCCGTAGTGCAACAAACCCGTAAGAAACTACTACTTGTCAAGTTTTGGTGTAATATCAAAGACTATCCATGATTATCTGAGAAGCCTCCTCACTGTTCCAACTATATATACTATATATACAACTATATATATGTTTTTCTTTACATACTCCAGACAAAGCAATGTATTACAACTGATTGAATGCAGAAGCAGACATGAGAATCCAGCTGGACATTAAAGAGATTTGCATAAATATAAAACAATGTTCTTCTTACTAATTTATTTTGGGTTAAAAATATAGGTATTTTTCATAAAAACATGTTAATCCATATTAACATATAATGGGTTGATATTGTTATTTTTAAATAATTATTTAAAAATACATGAATAGGGGCCAGCCTGGCGGTATAGTGGCTAAATTTGTGTGCTCTGCTTTGGCGGTCTTGGGCTCGTGGGTTCGGATCCTGGGTGCAGACCTACACACCACTCATTAAGCTATGCTGTGGCAGTGTCCCACATACAAAAAGAGGAAGACTGGCAACAGATGTTAGCTCAGGGCCAATCTTCCTCACCAAACAAAACAAAACAAAACAAAACAAAACCAAAAACACAAATATTTAATTCAAATTTCAAATATGGTAAATATTGATAGACCCCACAAAAACACAAGGTCTTTGGAGTCCTCAATGATTTTTAAGAGTATAAAAAGTACTGAAACCAAAATGTTGGAAAACCAGTGACCTAGTCAAATCATCTTGTTCGACAGGTAGAAAACAGAGAGGCTGACAATTTCAGTGACTTTCCCAGGGTGATGTCAATATTGTGGGAAAGCCAGGATTGAGAACCGATTTTTGATTCCTAGTCCAGTGTTCTTTCCACTATATTATGGAGCAGGCAGTTTCAGGGTATTTTATGTGAATGTTTCAATGTGTATATATTTCACTAAGGCTGTGTCTTTACCAGGGCCAACCCTCAGGTTATTTTAGTAATATTAGCAACACAAGTGCTATTCTCAGGGGGGTTATTTACAGTGTGAACACTTAATAAAAACTTTACCTTATCTGAGTAATATATCCTGATACATGATTTAGGGTCATTATTTCTATAATTAGATTAGATTTTGATTTAATTTGTACCTAAAAAAATATTTTAAGGCAATATCATAAGATGTTATGTTTAAAAATGTGTGACCCAAAAAAATAAACGAATCTGAATGACCGAAGGTGAGGAGAGACTTAATTCCAATGAGACTCGGAGATGTGTTCTCCTTCCAATGAAGAGAACGTAAAAGTATTTCCCTTTTTGCTTTGGCTCCCAGGATAGTCCAGGACAACTTTGCAACTCTACTTCAGAGATTGTGTAGCCCACTATGGCAGGCATTTGCCCTCTCTTTCCCTTATAATTTATATTCCCCTGGATTCTGATTTTTATTTATTCATTTTCTCTGGAATTATATGTTTTCTGGTGAGCAACTTCACCTTCTTCTGTGAACTTGGCAGGTATAAAGAAAGACACACAGGGTCTGGCCCGGTGGCGCAGTGGTTAAGTGTGCACGCTCAGCTTCAGCGGCTCAGGGTTCGCAGGTTCGGATCCCGGGCATGCACCAACGCACTGCTTGTCAACCCATGCTATGGCGGCATCCCATACAAAGTAGAGGAAGGTGGCCACGGATGTTAGCTCAGGGCCAATTATCCTCAGCAAAAAAGAGGAGGATTGGCATCAGATGTTAGCTCAGGGCTGATCTTCCTCACAAAACAAAAAGAAAGACACAGATAAAACCTGAGTCAAGGTTCTTGATACAGACACAGCCAATTTGGGCTTGGGATGATAGCTTTCATGAAATGTGATTTGAAGGAAAAACTAATGAAAACCTAGAACCAGAGGCATGGTCATTCCTTCAAACGTTTCTCTTCTCTTCTTCAGTTATGGGGGACTTGCTCATTCCCAGTGGTGTTCTTGTAGTCACTGAGGATGAACCTTGTAATGTGACCTGCCATGCACTGGGCTGGACCCCACTCCCAAATATTTCCTGGGAGATCGGTGTTCCGGTGAGCCATTCAAGCTACTATTCCCTTCCGGAGCCCAACGACCTTCAGAGCGCAGTGAGCATCCTGGCTCTCACGCCACAGGGCAATGGGACTTTGACTTGTGTGGCTAATGTGGAGGTGCTGCAGGTCCACAAGTCTGTAACTGTAAATCTTACTGTGGTTCAACCTTCCTTGGGTAAGTGAAGACTTCTTGCTTTATATAAAGTGAATTATTATTTCATGCTTCTATTTTATATGTCGTGCTGCTTAATCAACAGTGCTTAGTATCATACGATGACCTTGATTTCAGGTAGGGATGGTAATGGAGACAAATTACTTATAGGGTAGGCTTAATGACCGTGTAATTTCACTTGCTTTCAAAATTCCATCTTCAAGTATTTCTCTCTTTTCTACTTACAAATGAAAACCATTAAGAATCTTGACAATTATTTATCATGAAATAGAATCAAATTCAGAGATAAATACTTGAATTCCATCTTTTTCCCTAGGTTTACCCGTTGTTCTGGTTTGATCCCATCCCCTGGGGCAATATGAAGCCAGCTCTTATATTTGAGGAGGGTGCATAGGTCTTCTTGGGTTCCTTCCAATCTCAGTGGAATTATGATGTTTCATTTTTTTACCCAGGAAATCCACAGTGTTTGAAAGTACAAAGTCTATATATATATTTTTAACTCAACTAAATGACATAAGTTTAAAGTTTAGATCCCAAAAAGAATGTACAATAGAGTCCTTGACATACCAGAAACTCTAATCACACACCTTCTTGGGGCCTGCAGAGCCTGCTTGAGCCTGAGTCGGCCTGGGCAAACTAGAAAACGTGGAGGGTTGGGGGCTGGAGCTTGACTTTAACTCCATTTTACAAAACAGGAAAGAAAGAGTGGCCTAGAGAAGTGCTGGGCTGAATTCCAGATAGTATAGCTCTAAGGGGCAGAGGGAGCCTAGAAGCCAGGAAGAGTTTCTCTCTTGGTCCAAAGCTTTTCCCATTACGAAAACACCGTTACTTAAGATTGTTCGAAGTTCGGAACAAAGCTACAGCCAAAGCAAGATGACAATAATAATAATAATAAAAATAAAATAGGGCTACATAGCACTTACCAAATAAAGACACTGTTTTAAGTGCTTCTAAATATTAACTAAATTAACCTGCACTGCAGCCCTATGAGTGGATGCTGCTATTATTCCTGTTGTAGAGGTGAGGTGACAGGGACACAGTGGTGCTTGGAATTTGCCTGTGTCCATAGAGCTAGTAAACGGCAGGAGATGGCCCTGCTGGTCTATCTCCAGAATCTGCTCATCTGTCACCCCCACCCTCCACTGTGTGAGCAGCTGCTTGGAGGGTGTATGAGTACCCTGGGGCTGCTGTAACAAAGTACCTCAGATGGGGATACTTAAACCACAGAAATGTATTCTCTCTCAGTTCTGGAGGCTGGAAGTCCAAGATCAAGGTGTTGGCAGCGTTGATTCTTGCTGAGGGTCAGGAGGGAAAGTCTGCTTGGGGTCTCTCTCCTAGCTTCTCGTGGTTTGCTGGCAATCTTTGGCTTGTAGGCGCATCACCCCCATCTTCATCTTCACATGGCGTTCTTCCTGTGTGTGTGTCTGTGTCCAAATTTCTCTTTTTGAAAAGGACACCAGTCATGTTGGGTCAGGGGCTCAACCTAGCCAGTATGACCTCATCATAACTATAATTAATGTGTAATCTACAAATACTGTCTGAATATCTTTTTTTCTTGCCAGTCTTTCCCTTAATAACTTTTGTATTTTTTGATCAGTCATTACCTGAATCAGTTATTTCTATAGTGGTTGTCAATGAGTGATTTTCTGGTTCCATGATTTTTCTATATTTATTAGTTGGCATTCTTCTGTAAAAAAGAGGCTTCCCTCTCCTTCCTTCACTTCTTTCTTTTTTTAAAATAGTTTTAGCACGGACTCATTTTTATTCAATACATTATAATTTGCTCCTGTTATTATTCATTTTGATGCTCAGATTGCTCCCGATTTACCCAGTGGGAATCCCTTCCACCTGGCTCTGGTGTCCTTTTGACACGGCCCTATTAGTTTTTGAGCACTTGGCCCAATAAGATGTCCCCGACTTATTTTATTCCCAGGCTGGAATCAGCCATTTCTCCAAGGAGCCAACCTAGCTTGTTTTTAAGCTATTTAAATATGATAAGATATGGCCTAGGCTTTGAAAGGGAAGATTTAAAAAGAAGTTCCATTAGCACCAAGTGGAATGAAATCGACTGTTTAACCACACATCTTAACCAGGTAATAAGGCAGCAAAGAGCTCTGCTCTGGTTGATGATGCCCCATAGAAATGGATTTTAGAGATTAGCTTGCCTGAGAAGTTTTTCTTCAGTAGGGGCAGGGCAAGGGGCACTTAATTTCCCTCGATCAGTTTGATTCAGCTGAGTTCTTCTTAGACTAGGACTGGGAAGCAAGCGGCCTTAATTACGGCAGCTGGGGTCCCCACAGCCTCACAGGGGAGAGCGTGGTGGCTGTGTTGCCATGAGTCTTACTTTATTGGACTCATTTGGAAAAGGGTAATTTGTTTCTAAATTATTCATCAAGATCCAGAGCAGCTGGTGGCTGGCTACATGTTGTGCGTTTTATGCAAGTTTTAGCAGTTGAAGACCTCATTATGGCCTCGGCTGGCGGAGCTGGCGGCTGGAAGTCTTCAAGGAGCACGGCCAGGTTGACAGGGAGCCCGGAAGGAACGAGGCTGTGCGTTCAGGTGTCTTCAGGAATCGGATAAACACCAGTCCTGAGGCCCATTTCCTAAACGTGCAAGGAATCTGCGTTCCTTTCTGGAATAATTCCTTTAAGTCAATGACAATGGCAGCTTAGGAAGCCTAATTAGTTTAAGCCAAGAAGTTGTATGAAGCACTTACGGATTCTTGAAAGAAAAATGTATTGAAAGGGCTAATGCTCACGTTTTCTGAGAAATCGATTTTCTTGATTCCAGAAGTCATACAAAGTTCCAGCATTGCAGACACGCATACAACTAGAAGGAAAGCCCCTCCCCTGCCTGCCTTGAGATAAGCACTCCACCCCCTGTCTGCCCATCTGGGTTGTTTTCTCTGTGTACTTAAGTGTACAGGCTGTGAAATGTTAAAACAGAGCAGTATTTTTAGGACACCTGAGCACCCTGTAGAATGGAGTGATTCCTGGTTATAATCTCAGTTTTGTGAGATGTGGAATTTTCCAGGGCAGGCAAGGTGGTGGGACTGGCAGTCCTGGGTCGTAGCTCTGCCACCAGCTGTGTGACTCGGGCAAGTCACTGCCCTTTAGGGCTCCATTTTCTCACCTGTAAGCTGAGGGGGAAAAGAATAGGATGGAAGTTTTCTCTTCTGGCTGCCTGTGGGAGACTCCGAGGAGCTTGAACGCATCTGCTGCTGCTCCAGCCCCACCCCGGAGGCTCTGATTTAATTGGTCTGCATGGAGCCTGGGAATTGACATTTTTGAAAAGCTCCCAAATTACTCTACTGGGCAGCCTGGATTGGAGGTTGCTGAACTGGAAAATCTCAAAGGCCCCACTTCCTGATCCAGCCTCATGAGGTGTTACTATCCACACAAGCTTGGGCACCAGACAGCCTGGACTCAGATCCCAGCTTGCCTACTTACTTGCTGTGTGACTTTGAGCGAGTTACTTAACCTCTCTGTGCCTCAGTTTTCTTTTCTTTTTTTTTTTTAAGATTACGCAGTCCGTGTACCCACCTCCCCCATTTATAGCAAGCAAATCTTTCTATAATTTTATTTTTATTTTTTCCCCCAAAGCCCCAGTAGATAGTCGTATGCCATAGCTGCACATCCTTCTAGTTGCTGTATGTGGGACGCGGCCTCAGCATGGCCGGAGAAGCGGTGCATCAGTGCGCGCCTGGGATCTGAACCCATGCCGCCAGCAGCAGAGCGCGCGCACTTAACTGCTAGGCCAGGGGGCTGACCCTGCCTCAGTTTTCTCATCTGTAAAACTGTCATAATAATAATACCTACCTTATAGGGTTGTTATTGGTGTGAGAAGGAAGTGAGTTAAAACATCTAAAGCACTTAGGACAGTCCCTGCCCCAGAGCCCACAGGACAGGAGAGTGAGCAATTGTTATCATTTGTTATATTGATTCAGAGATCTCCTGTGTCCCTTCTGGTCAGCGCAGGAGCCTGTTTTGCACATATGAGTGGTGACATTTTGTATTAATCCAATTGGTTTCGAGAAATTCTATGTGCCCTTTTAAAACTCTGAGCATTCCTGTGAGAACATCTGGGGAACATTATTTTCCTTTTCTTCACAGACGGGCAAAGGACACTCTCGAAGCTGAGAATAAAGTTATACGGTCAATTCAGTAACGCAGCCCTAACGTGCACACAGTTGTGTGAAGGAATGTAGGGAGGAAGGCAAGCAGTGTTGAACTTGGAGGTAATCCTCCTTAGTCACTGTGGGTTACGCAGGTGTAGTATACGCATGTTCTCCAGCAAATCTGCCACTCACCTTATCATCACGCCACACCCTCCACTAAGGCACAAGTCAGGGATCAGCATCTGCCTAGACTCTCTACTTCCTCTAAGACTCAGGCTGTGTCTTTCCCAGAAGGATTATTGCAAATGGAAGACGCAACATGGCAGGATGGAAAGACAAGAGTCAGAGGGCTGGGGTTTTTCTATTCTGAGTATCCTTGTCCAATTTACTGAGTCTCTTCGTCCCGAGTGTCTTATCTGCACGATGAAGGGGTTGGATTATGGATGAGATCGTTCCAAGGTTCTGTGTTTTCTGTCTCCTCTCAAGACTTTTGATTTATCGATCTATGACTATCATTTATTTTTCTTTCAATCCACTATGAATGGACTCATTTAAAAAATTAGCCTCATACTAAACAAAATATCCATGCTATATCTGCATGAGTGTATACAAATGTATGTAAGAGACGATAAATCAAAAATTATTGGGAAAATAAGAACGGTTCTTCGATGTAGCTCCAGCACCAATCACGCTTTTCTTTGGTCTCTGCTGGAGTAGAGGGGGAGTGTAAGTCTCTCCTAGGTGGGAGACTCCATGGGAGATTCAACCCCCAGTGGAGTGGAGTCACAGCAAATAGGAAGTGAAAGAAAGAGCCATGTGGTTCCTGATATCAGGTGCCGTTTGGTGAGAGTTGGGGGCTTTTGGCTGATGCAGGCGTCACTTAGCTGACCTTGATGGTTGAATTACAGACATGAGAGTGAGTGAGGTCACAATATCACCTGCTTGTGTCCTTGATTCAGTTGCCAACCCCAGCAAGGTGGCCCTTCCCTTCCTTTAAACAGGTCGTCCCCAAGAATAAGCGGCTGTCTCTGTGCTAGATCAGAGGAAAGGGTGCTATGTCGTGACTTGGTTGACAGAACTTGGCACGTCGACAGTTTTCTCCAGCAGGGGAGGAAAACGCTTTGATAGGGAGTATTTGAGTAAGTCAACAAGTGTGTTGACTTATACCAGTAAGAATTTCAAGCCTATCTCTTGAATCCGGAGCCAGACCCTAATGTTTCACGCCAGCTGGCTCCCTTATTATGAAAACTTCTAATATCTGCAAACTTTCGTTGTAAAAGAGCCCATCAGACTGAATTTAGGATGACCATAGCAATCTCGAACATGGGCATTGTGCCTTATGGTGTTCTCAGCGTGTTCATGTGCATCTCTTGAGTCTCTGAACAGCCTGGTGGGGCAAGAATTGTTACGGATGAGTGAGCCAGAGGCCAAAGGGAGCCCAAGTCAGCGGTGGCCATGAGATTTCACTAGTTCCATTGACGTGAAGCCCAAAGCTCTTTGTCAGCCATGAAGCTTCCATATGGTGGTCTGACTCTAAACTCCAGATTGTGAATATCATAAATGCAGTTCTGGACTTCATAATTTTATTATCACATCTGTGAGAGGGAGAGTAAGGGAGCATCCTGTAAGGTGGCAGGTTGCTTGGGCAGTGTTTACATTTTGGCTGAACACTAGGAATTCTCAGAGTGTGGGTCACCACCCACCTGCATCGGAATTACCTGGGGAGCCATCCCAGATACCTGACTGGGCTGCACTGGAGGTGAGTTCAGAATCTGCGTGCACAGCAGGCATTCCAGGTGGTGCTTGGGATTTTGCTGTCTGTGCAGCAAAGGGAGAAGCTGTATTGCTCTCTGGGTGTGAAGGGATTGGCTTGTTTTAAAGCTCCAATTCTGGGGCTGGGGAAGGGTGGCATAGGAAAGGTATAATCCTGTCCCCTCCCCCTTCCACCTTTTTTTGGGAATTCTTTTCCTATCTCTATCTGTCCCAGTTCGTCTCAGAAAAATGGTGGGTAATATGGAAATCCATCCGTTCATCCATCCCTCCATCCATCCCTCCCTCCATCCCTCTCTCCATCCATCCCTCCATCTATCCCTCATCCATCCCTCCATCCATCCCTCCATCCCTCCATCCATCCATCCATCCGTCCATCCGTCCATCCACCCATCCATCCCTCCATCCATCCCTCCATCTCTCCAGCCATCCATCCTTCCATCCCTCCATCCACCTGTTCTTCCATCCATCCATCCATTCAAGGTGCCCAATATGTGCCAGATGCTTGGGGCATAGGGAGAATAAGACATAGTCTTTGACCTTGAGGGGACTAAGGCTAGATTAGATAGTAGCAAGTGTGTAAGAAGAAATGGAAGCCACAGCAGTCAATTTCATAGACATTTAAGATGGCAATGAATGTGAGATGTTAAAAAAAAAAAGAAAACTTTTAAAACTATCACAGGTAATGCAGAGAAGCTTTGCACAAAGGGCAGAAGACAAATATCATTTTGTATTATATAATTCTTCAAAGCAATGTTCTTGAGATAAGTCTGTGGATTATTCTGCAGTTGGATCCTTGCTTTTCCATGAGTCAGCATCAAGGTGGTTGATGATTGTAGACGCCAGAGCATTAGTGACCATCTCTAACCACTCCTAAAACTTATTCTGAGCATTTAACTTTGACACAGGAATAGCAAACTACGATTTCAAGGAAAACTCTAAGTAAGAATATCCAAGAGCTTCTTTTCCGCTAATAACTCACCTGTGGTTCCAAAGTGCTGGAAGGCCACTGATGTAAAAGCAAACTTTATCTTCCTGCATAGGAAGTCTGTTGTTTTATTTTCTAATGACTGGCATTTAATAAAATAGCATGCATTTACACTGAGATATCACCCAAGCACTCAAGGTTGAGTGACGGACTTTATTGAATAGCAATTCACACGTAAACAGATCAACTTAAACATGGTTTGACTTCCCTGTTGTTCAGTAGGGGAAGTGAAATGCCCATAAGGGCTTTTTGGAACATCCATGCAGTTCCCACAAGCCCATGACCAGGCGGCGCTGCCCAACAGGACTTTCTGCGATGAAGGCAATGTTCTAGCCTGTGGTAACTGAGCCTTTGAAACGTGGCCAGTGCGACCGAGGCACTGAGTATTTAATTGTATATAGTGTTAATTAATTTAAATTTGAATTTAGATAACCGCGTGAAGTGTGTTGACAGCTCTGGCTAAGACATGGCTATAAAAAGTCATAATGGCTTTTTCTCTCTTTCCGTCTCACCCTGCCTCTCCTTCATTTCCTGCTTGACCTTATCCTTTCTCTCTTCCGACTCCATGACTACTGGATTAAACAAGAGGGCAAACTAGGCATTAGTGAAGGTGGCCCCTGAAGAGCCATGGAGAGAGCAATTACTCGATGAGAAATGAATTCTGCGGGTGGGGTATGGATGGCACTGGAGCGAAGGCCTTGCGATAAGTTCCTTTGTGAGTGACTCTTCCCCAATTTGTCCCTATTCCTTCGGGCTCTGGACTCTTGAAGGGTGGGGACGTGGAAGAGAACGCCAGACGTTAGTCTTCCAGTCTTGTCCAGCAGTAGCTGATCAATAAGCATTTCTTGACTAAATAAAGGATGTGGAACATGGTAATTACTACCCCAATCCCAGGGAGTTGTCACCCAGCCCAGCCTTATCTACCTCTCAGGAATGTTAGAAGCGTTAAACGATTAGCATTTGGACTGTGTTACTAAGCTGGTATTTATTGACAAAATAAATGTTGTGGAAGGTACTGTAGAGTGTTGAGTATTTAAGCACACTGAAGGGAAGTTGGCCTAGGACATCTGGCTATAGCAGGCTGAATAGTTAAAATATTATTGAAAAACATACTCTAATTGATAGTGTGGCAGAATCAGTGATTGCATCCCCTAGATAATGGCAAATATCACTAAAATATTTCTTTTCCTCCTTTTGACCTTATAGGCAGTGTTGCTAAAGCAGGTGCATCATTGCCTACCTGGGCCATAGTTCTACTCGCAGTCTCATTGTCATTGCTTTTGATCCTGATAATTGTTCTGATTACAATATTCTGCTGCTGTTGTGTCTCCGGGAGAGAGAAAAAAGGTAATTTTTTTTTTCATATAGATATGTACATATTTTTGAACTTTCAGTACAAGCAGTCGAAGTTCATTAGCTCATTAGCTCTTTCAAAAGATACATTGGCTATCGGTGTCCTTGAAAGAAAATGTGTGAAATTCACAGAGAGGGAAGGGACTTTCCAAAGAAGAGAAGCCACTCCTTTGGGGCCTGACACAATCCCTCTAGGAAGACAGATCTTCACACTTTTGAGATTGTTTTGAGGCAACACCTTTCTCATAAAAGACACTGACTATTTGATTGATTTTTGTGCTTATTTGCAAGGATACAAGGCTGTGTCATCTGTCACTCAGATACTATGTTTTTTCTAGAATAATACCTACCTATCTGAGCACATTAAAAGATTATTTCCTCTTTTGTATAATTCCAAATCTCCTTTGGTAGGTGAATGGTGATGTAGTGGTAGAGAGAAATGTAAGGTCTTCTGTTAATCAAAATAGTAAAATAAAATTAATAAGAATAGTTATGCATTTCTTCTGAATGAGGTCTTCTGAGATACTCCAAGATATATGAATGCAGTGACCTTGTTTGGGGTCAGGCTCAACGTGGGGGTGGGCTCATCCACATGGGGGTGGGCTTGTAGAGTTTGGCAGTGTGTGACTTCAGAAACAAAAGGATCTTTGCCATGTGGACAGCTCAGGACTTTCCAAGTGCTGAGTATGTGTGTCCATCCTTATCTTTCTTTCTCTCATAAAACCTTTACCTACTCCTATTTGAATATTTTCTACAGTTGAATTATTTTTCTGAAAATCAGTTTTGATGTTAGGCAGTATGTCAATTTAATTGCATTTTTAATTTTATTAACACTAAGTGCCATTCGATGAGCAGTTTTTGTGTGTGTGCCGGGCACTGTGTTAACTAATTCTTCTACATGGAATATCTCTCTTAGCGAGATGGTCTAGCCTTAACCAGGCTAATGGTCTAGTCTTAACTCCTGCATGGATTCGGTTTATGATTGAAGAATTAATTCTGTGATATAAATTTATTCCTTATGAAATACAAAATGAAAAGTAGCCAACTCCTGTTGACCCAGATTTGAGGGGAATTTGTTTTTGCTTGGGAGTTACTCTATATGGCACAGATGGATTACTCAAATAAAATACACTGGATTTTAAATTAAAACTATTGGATAACTTGAATTTTAATTCAGAAGTGACTAGGATTGTTCAGTGCCTTCAGATGATTATTTTCAACATTAGCTATTGAGGCTTAGTTGGGGAACATTCTGGTCATTTGGACTTCTGCTTCTCTTAGGCTTTTCTCTGTTCCACAAGAGCTTGGTAAGGTTTGTGATGTTGGTGGCCCCTGGAGGATGTGCAGAAGGGTGATTCCCTGATTTTTAGCTTCATCATTCACAAAATGGGAATAAGTCCTACCCTGTAGATTGGGTACGAGAATTAAATAAATAGATATATTAAATGGTTCTGTGATCTGTCCTAGATTTTACCCTTTTTTTAACTTTGAGATGAAAAGCCATGTAAGAGAAAGTTGTTTTTATTCTCCTGGTTCATAACAGCTCCAGGTAAGGGCTTTGAACAGAGCCTGTGACAACCTACTTACAATGCCCGCTCCCACTAAGTATAATTCCAAGTGGACACTTCACCTTGACATAAATGTAAAGGACCAAGTCCCAAGGACATTTTCCACAGAAACAGAACAAAGAATCCTAAAATTTATATGGAACAACAAAAGACCCCGAATAGTCAAAGGAATCCTGAGAAAAAAGAACAAAGCTGGAGATATCACATCCCCTGACTTCAAAATATACTGCAAACCTATAGGAATCAAAACAGCGTGGCACTGGCACAAAAACAGACACATAGATCAATTGAACAGAATTAGAATCCCAGAAATAAACCCACACACCTACGGATAGCTGATCTTCAACAAAGGAGCCAAGAACACACAGTGGAGAAAGGAAAGTCTCTTCAATAAATGGTGGTGGGAAAACTGGACAGCCATGTGCAAAAGAAAGACAGTAGATTATTGTTTTACACTATATACAAAAATTACCTCAAAATGGTTTAAAGACTTTAATGTAAGACCTGAAACCAAAACTCCTAGAAGAAAACATAGGCGGTACGCTCTTCAACGTCGGTCTTAGCAGCATCTTTTCAAATGCCATGTCTCACCAGGCAAGGGAAGCAAGAGAAAAAATAAATAAATGGGACTACACCAAACTAAAAAGCTTCACACAAAGGAAACCATCAACAAAACAAAAAGATAACCTAACAATTGGGAAAAGATATTTGCAAACCATATATGATAAGTGGTTAATATTCAAACTATATAAAGAACTCATAAATCTCAACAACAAAGAAAAAAGCAACCCAATTAAAAAATGGGCAAAGGATCTGAACAGGTATTTTTCCAAAGAAGATCTACAGAGGGCCAACAGGTACATGAAAAGATGTTTGACGTCACTAATTATTAGGGAAATACAAATCAAAACTACAATGAGATATCACCTCACGCCCATCAGAATGGCTATAATTAAGAAGAGAAGAAATAACGAGTGTTGGAAAGGATGTGGAGAAAAGGGAGCCTTCATACACTACTAGCGGGAATGCAAACTGGTGCAGCCACTATGGAAAACAGTACGGAGATTCCTCAAAAAATTAAGAATAGAACTACCATATGATCCAGCTATTCCACTTCTGGGTATTTATCCAAAGAACACAAAAATATGAATGTGTAAAGATATTTGCACTCTATGTTCATTGCAGCATTGTTCACAGTAGCCAAGACTTGGAAACAACCTAAGTGTCCATCAATGGATGAATAGATAAAGAAGACGTGCAGTGTATATACATACAGTGGAATACTACTCAGCCATAAAAAAGATGATATCTTGCCATTTGCGACAGCATGGATGGACCCTGAGGGTACTATGCTATGTGAAATAAGTCAGACAGAGAAGGCCAAATACCATATGATCTCACTCATATGTGGAAGATAAAACAACAACAACAAACACATAGATACAGAGAACAGATTGGTGGTTATCAGAGGGGAAAGGGGGTGGGGGGAGGGCAAAAAGGGTAAAGGGGCACATGTGTACAGTGATGCATGGCAACTAGACTTTTGGTGGTATACATGATGCAGTCTGTACAGAAGTTGAAAGATATTGATGCACACCTGAAATTTATATAATGTCATAAATCAATATGACCTCAATAAAAAAAAATAAATAAGAAAAAGAATCCAGTGAAGTCCTGGATTTCCCCTGGATTTCCCCATGATATTTACATGCTTAAAATATTAAACAATTAGTTTTTTCAAAATTATTTTCTGGCACTCTCCTTTGCTAGTGCCTGGAGAATTCTCAGTGCTCCAACTGGTTAACTCCGGACTGACTGAGGACAGCTGGGACCCCACTCAGCACGGCTTGGAGGACTTGGGATCGCATCTTCTAGAGCAGAGGGACCGAGAGGCCATCTCTTGCAGCCTGGCCCTTATGGGAACACTAGCGACATCCCCTATTACCAGAGGGGGACCAGATGATCTCTCTCTTCCAATTCAAATAAGATTGCCCGAGGTTCAATCTGGAGTGTGAGTCGACAGATGTTATTACAACTGAAAATAAGTGATAACATTATCTAAAAAACAAGGAAAATGAATATTTTTTAATCTCAATAATGCTTGATGAGTAGAAGATCCACCAGGAAAGCACAGTTGCAAAGAATGCTGGCTTTCGAGACAGACGGCCAGGGACTGGCGTGTGGCTCTGTTACTCCCTATTTTCAAATTCTATATTTCCCCTCCTCCAAGAATCCATTGATTAAAAACATTAGCAATTTAATGACAGCTTTTGGGGTGGATGCAACTGTATGAATTGATACCATTGGTACATGGTGATTGAAAATGTATCTTAGAATTCAAAGAACTATAGTGCTTAAGCAGTATGATTCTTTATCTGTTAAAAATATGGTTATACTAGTATAATAGCATCCAGTCTGTTAAAAATACGAGAACGCTAACATAAGACCTACCTTTTGGGTTGTTGTAATGATTAAATGAAATAATACTGCACAGTGCTTGCCAGATGCTGTCACATGGTAAGTACTGAATGAATGACAGTGGGGACTGGGAATGCAGAGCATCTCTTCATGGAGAATGGAGTCTTTATAATCTCGCTAATCAAATGCAGTGTTCACTAAGTACTTATTAGGGACCTACTATATTTCAGGTGCCTAGGGGTTATTTATATTTGTGATAGTTGATAGTGAATTCTACTTTCCTTGATAACTGGGTGTGAGGAAGCTTAATAATACCTACTGGGTCGCAGATATTCAATAATGTCGGTATTAAAATCACGGGGTCTATAAAAATCTATGAGATTTTATTTTCAGGATAACTATCCTGATTTTGCTAATGTGATTTTGTTCTTTTTTTTTTTTTTTTTTGCAGAATCTAGTTATCAAAGTGAAATAAGGTAAGCTTGAAATCACATCAATTTTCCAAAAACAAAAGTAAACGAATAGAAAAACCAAACAATGGGGCCGGTCCTGTGGCGTAGTGGTTAAGTGCGCACGTCCGGCTGCCGGGTTCAGACCCCAGGCGTGCACCGACGCGCCTCTTGTCAGGCCATGCTGTGGCGGCGTCCAACATAAAGTGGAGGAAGATGGGCATGGATGTTAGCTCAGGGCCAGTCTTCCTCAGCAAAAAGGGGAGGATTGGCATGGACGTTAGCTCAGGGTTGATCTTCCTCACACACACACACACACACACACACACACCCAAAAAAACCAAACAACACACACACACCCCCCCCCAACTGTGGGATTTTAGGATTATGTTAATCAAAATTTCAGTGGTACTGAAAATGGACCACTCTGAAAAACATGTATGCCAATCACAAGCTCATAGGGCAACATTAATTGTAGAATAAAATAGGTGGGCTGCTACTGCCTACGACTCACTTAGGAAAATGGAGCAGATTTTCTACTTGGTGTCTGACATTTGCAACTCTTTCCACAAGAGGACACTCTGCACTGTGACTCTTGACCTTCCTGCTTTGAGTCAGGGCTAGGGACCTGAGGACCATTTCAAGAATGTTAAAGAACCAGGCAAGGTCCTGCTGGCATTTCTGGGGCGGTGGAGAACAGTGAGACCAGCCAGATGGCTTAAGGCACATGAAATTGAGCAGGCAGACAAATTAGGTAGCATTCACTGCTTGTACCACTGAGAGGGGAGGGGACAGAAAAATTCCTGCCATTCCCATGGCTGTCCAGAAGTAGCTGCAAGCACTTTTAAGGTAACTATGTCAAGGACTTACAATAATACAGTAAATCAGTTTAAATGTCTGCAATATTTACCGAATCATAAGTGCACTAAGGGGAGGGATTTTTAGACAGCAGTGGTTTTGTTGGGGGTGTTATAACAAAACCGCATTGAGTTTCAGAATTTTATTAGATAATTTTAATTTTTGAAACGTTGCAATTTTAAAATATCTTTCGGCTACATGTGGAGAATGAAGATGTGTGTAATTATCGCATAACAGATCCTGCCCTTTCTCCCTCTGGCCCTGCTTGCTCCCTGGTGATAATGTGGTTTTGAGAGAGGTGGCTGTGCTCTCCCTGAGGACCCCACCAAGCAGGAATCTGAAAATACACCTCCTCTGGGGCCTGACTTAAGGCAAGAGGAGACGAAGGAGAGCTGACCCGATAATGACTCCGGCATTTCTCTCCATCGCTGTCACTGGCAGGATGGCAGTCAGCATCCTTCTGTTCACTATTGACCATGTAACAGCTTTCATTTCTCTTCTCTGGGATCTTAGGTGATTTCAAAACATGACACAGTGATCAACAGCTATTCAGGGCAATGGGAGAGAATCGTAATAATAACAGCAGGGATAATAATCACGACAGTGGTAGTGACAATGAGAGCTGGCATACACTGAACGCTTAGCATACCTGCCAGGAGCTGTTCTACACCTGGGAGGGGTTGTTCTCTCACCTAATCTTCACAATGGTTTTATGAGTCTGCAGATGAGGAAACTGCAGGGTACAGAGAGGCCAGGTTGGGAGCCAGCATCTCCCGTCTAGGGAGTGGACGGGTCAGACTGTGACTCAGGCAGTCCTGCTCAGGCCCTGGGCTCCTGTCCGTGTGTGGCTCTCACGCTTAGATCCAAGTGCATTAGGCCCAGGGAGGAAAGATGGGGTGACTCACTGGGACCCCCGTATCTCACCTGCTTTCCACTCCCACTGCACCAATAGTGCTGACTCCAGCTGCCTGCAGAATTCTTCTGCGTTGGAAGAACCTATATACTTTTCCCTGTAGAATCAATGCATGTTTATTATAGAAAAAATTAAAAATAAAGTATAAGAAATGGTTTTAAAATCACCCATAATTCTATTGTTCAGAAGTAATCATTGTCATCTAAGTGTGTATACTTACATGCGTGTGTGTTCGCACAGACACACAGAGATACACATTCATATGCATTTTGTGAGATTTGCGTCATCATCAACATTATTTTGTAGCTTTTTCTCTTCACTTGACACTATTCTGAAGTTTATTTCTGTTAACAGATACTTGCCTGCAACATTTTGCTTCATTTGCTTAATGAAATATTTTATTGAAATATAAGAGCAGAAAGTACATGAATCGTAGGTGTGGAGCTTGATTCATTTTCAGAAAGCATATGTGCCTGGCCCTTGGCTGCCGACATGCAGAACTAGAACACCCCAGCACCCCAAAACCTCCCTCAGTCCCCTGTCAAATCATCACCTGCCCCTTCCTCAAAGGTCATGTCTTCTGACATCTTTCCCCACATCCCCAGAGATTAGATTCATGTAAACTTTACATAAATGGGGTCATATCGTGTGTACTCATTTGCATCCGCCTTCTTGAGCCTCACACTGTGAGATAGATCCATATTGTTGAATGTCGATGTACGTGGTTTATTATGATATAATACTACGTTCTGGGCACATAGGCAATTCATTTTTCCATTTTACTTTAAACGGGCATTTGGATAGTTTTCAGGTTGGAGCCCTTATGAATACTACTGCACTAAGCATTCTCATGGGTGTCTTTTGGTGACATGTACACATTAACATTCCTGTTTTGTATTCCGTTGGGTATATAGCTACCACGAAAGCTGGGTCATAGGGTAGGTATATGTTCAGCTTTATATGGTACTGCCACACGGTTTCCCAGAGTACGTGTACCAGCAGGTGTACGCTTCCACCAGCAGTGCTTGAGAGTTCTCATCTATAATAATTTCTACAGGCAAGACTTTTCATCATTTGTTTTACTAGTCCTCTATGCTTGGGCACCTGGGTTGTTTGCAGTTTTTGCTGTTATAAATAGCTCACGAATGGACATCCTTTCAAGTAAATCTTTGCACATATCCTTGATGATTTCCCTATAATAAATTCTTAGTGGTCAAGCATAAATATTTTTAAATCTTTGGATATCCATTGCCAAACTTCCTTACCTTGCACCAATTTTTGCTTGATTTCAGCAGTTGGCATACTTTTTCTATAAAGGGCCAGATGGTAGACATTTTTGGTTTTGCAGGCCACACGATTTCCGTCACAACTACTCAACTCTGCTGCCATTAACATGAAAGCAGCCATAGACAATACGGAAGCGGACAGATGTGGCTGTGTTCCAATAAAACTTTATTTATAAAAACAGGTGGTGGGCCACATTTGGCCTGTGGGTCATAGTTTGCCAACCCTGCTTTATTTGGTTACTGGTTTCTGAGAGTTGAGTGGAGTCCATGGACCTATCATGATGAAGTTGCCTCTCTCCCCATAATGGGAGTGTGTGAGCCTGCAGTCTACACAACCATGCCAGTGGCTGTGAGTGTCCATTCTGTTGCTCACCACTCCCCAGAGGCCAGCAACCAAGCTGTGGCCTTGTGGTAAGTTCAACATGTAAGAATGCTCTGGGCAGAACAGTGTGAACTGAACATCCATTACCAATTAACATTTGGCTTTTTAAAATGGTCTAATTCTAGGAAATCTGCGACCATGAAGACCAACAAAGAAACTTCTGAGACAAAGTTAAAAAGTGGAAATGAAAACTATGGATACAGTTCCGATGAGCCAAGGACCACAAGTGAGTGGACATGGCGGGCAGGAGAAAGACCTTGAAAGGGGAGTGTCCAGAGAGGGGCCGGCCAACCAAACACCAGCATCACAAAGCAGATGACTTAGCCATGGGTGGTCATTATTTTTTGGATAATTTTTAGAAGAAGAAGAAATTCCAGAAATATTCTAGGAGTAGATTAACAGTGAAAATCCACCTATTTGTCTAAAGTTTAAAATAAAGTGAGGTGGGAGCCAGCCCTCATGACCTAGTGGTTAAAGTTTGGCACTCACTGCCTTGGCGGGCCAGATTTGCTTCCCAGTCATGGAACCACACCACCTGTCTGTCAGTTGCCATGCTGTGGTGGCGGCTCACATAGAAGAACTAGAACGACTGACAACTAGGATATACAACCATGCACTGAGGATTTTGGAAGAAAAAAAAAAAGGAAGAGGAAGATTGGCAACAGATGTTAGCTCAGGGTGAATCCTCCCTGCAAAAAAATAAAAAAGTGAGATGGACATGTAAGAGCTTTTAAGAATAATGTTCTGGTTTTTGCCCCATGCTTTCCATTTCTTTTAAGGCTTCTACCTGAAACCGTGTGAAGAGGCATTTTAATACGTTGAGGGTAACTTGCCCAAAACCTCAATTAAATCTGAAGCTCAGTAGGAAATGTTCCTCTTCAACCTTACAGGGTGTTGGAGAATGTCGAAAGACTAAACCCAATTTTGAAAAGCCTTTTTGTAGTCCCTATAGTCTTACTTTTAGAGGATGCAGGCATCATGGGCGGCATCTCTGAAGGCACTCTCACTAGTAAGAGGCAGGGGTATGATTTGAACCGAGATCACTTCGTAAGGCAGATAAGAGAGAAAGGCTGTGCAAATTACTCCTTAGCAGTCCTATTCTCAGCCACCCCATTCTTCCCACTTTACCATGGATGTCTCTCATGTACGTTCCAAACTGTGTGCTTCAGATTTAAAGAAATTCTGCAAAGCATTGGCTGTTTCCTTTGATAATCTGATCACAGCTTCTTGCAAAATTTCCTGTGAGCGAGTATTTATTCATTAATATTTTGAGCAATTAATCCAGTAGCTTGACCAAAATCATGGCCAAAACCAAGCCTCTCTGCCTCTTTTTTTCCCCATTTGCCCTGTATTTGTTTTCCTTGGTCAGCCATTAAAGCTATGGATCTATCTTGTCTCTGGATGAGACTATAGTGTCAAGAAAGGAATTGATTTTGAGTCAGTTTGCCATATTTTTGTTTTATTAGAAAGAAAGTTCTAAAGATATGCAACCTCAAGGGAACTTTAAAAAAAGTCTGTTTATGGTTAAGGATTATTTTTTGCCAGGCGTACTCCATAAAAGCAAATGCATTTCTTTATAAATCAGAATTGTTAGAATATGAAGTTTGATTTTTGTCACTTATCACTCTAAAGTCATTCTTCTGTTGCAGAGACTACTTCTGTCCCTCCAAAGTCCTCCGAATCCAGTGTTCCAGAACAACACAGTAGGCAACCTCGTCAGGTGATTTAGACTTTTTCCTCTTTTTGGACTTTTTCTGCTATTTAGAAACTCTTGCATTGTTGTAGGTGATTATAAAACAGTGCCCTTTTTTTTTTTTGATGTTCATGATGGAAGAAAGTGGCTTTTGCTCACCTCTATGTCAACCAGTCAGCATGGGGGGAATGGGGCCGGGACGTAGTAGTGTCTCTTGCCCTTTCTAGCGAGTTTTTGGGGGAAAGATAAGTTTAATTGGGGGCTTGTAGATCTTGAGTTGTGTGTTAGACGTCCACATAGAGATGGCAAGTGTGCAGCTGGATGTACAAGTCTGGAGTCCAAGGAGAGGCACAAGTTGTAGATATTATTGGCCGTTAGGCAAATTTTGATGGGCTCCGTCCTTCCAAAGGACGTTAACTTAAAGAAAACAGTCAGTTAGGAGCTGCGAAGATGCAGTATGTTAATTTTCTGACACAGAATTAGCGTTGGTTGTCATACACAAGTGAATTAGAGTTCATATGCTGAAAATACGATTCTTTATATCCAAAGTCATATTAGGCAAAAGATATATAACCAGCACCATCTTCTGACCTGTATAATTGCGACTTCAAAGGAGAAGTACTTCGATGCAATTCTGCAATGGTGTCCCCGATAAGTGTGGATGTTCTCCCCTCTTAGCTTTGGGAAAAGCCAAACTCACAGATTGCGTTTCCAACAGCATGCTGGATCAGATAGTCTTGGCTTTGTTCTGCCTAGAAGTTGCTATTAGTCTGATGTGCTACTCCGGAGAGTGTGCCTTCACAGCCCCCATCACTCTTTCTTGGTGCAGATATTCACTTGAGTTTCCAGGCAGCTCCAGGCTGTAATATTCCCTCCTGCAGTTGGGATTCAGCTCAACACATACATCTTACTGGTGACGTGTGTCTCCCAGGTCTTTGGAAGGAAGGGGAACTTTGATGGATGCTCAGCCACATATCATCAGGGGGACCTAAGTGATGCTATTAGTGCAACCAAGGTAGCCAGGCGGGAAGATATATGAGGGGTCTGTGGCACACAAGAAGATGGGCCTAAGTGACAAATCTTGAGTTCCTGGTATGAGTTCAAGCTGCTTTCCTCAGGCTGGGTGTCAGGAAAATGGAGAGGTAAACTTCTTCCCATCGATGCTGCTCTTTTTGGTACATATATCTTTTAATGCACTTAGTCTGGTGCTGGGAGGGATGACTGTAGAGATGCAACAGGTTCCCTTTTCAAAGGCTGGCCTCTAAGAGGTGGCGGGCAAAAGGGAGTAATCGCCGGGTTGGGAAGGATGTTTCCTGTCAACGCCCCATGATTGGACCTGAGTGGGGGCCACAGGCTAATGAAGGGGCTCTCTCCTACCCAGCACTAAGCATGGTTACCCCAAGAACACATTTAAGGCAACCATTATTCCTGTGGTTACGTTTTTCTGTCACATGTCTTTCCACTAGACAAGCCAAAATGCTCAGGTCTGGGGTGGTGGATGGGATAGGTGGGGAGGAGATTCAGAAGGGGGTCATGTCAGATGATTCCCCCGAAAAAATAAGTGAGGAAAAAGGGGAACTCTCAGTGCCTCAGGATACAGGAATGGAGAATGATGTTTTGGAGCTCAGGGTGGATACTTATTAAAGCTTGAAGTGTTGTTTTGAAAATACACAGGGAGAGAAATTTAAGAAGTCTCTGCTACTTAAACATGTAACCAGCTAAATAATCTATTGGTGGCTGGGTCCTGGGGCTGGTCACACACACTTGTGTTTCTTAAAGTGTTTGGAAGGCTTCTAGGGGAGCAGTGCATCTCAGCCCAGAGCATCAGGGTCCTTCAGAAACAAATCAAGATGCCAGGAAAGATGTTTTTGCCTGGGCTAAAAACTGGTGAGAGGTGATTAAATAGCTGGATTTTTCTACTTAGAGTGGAGGAACTTAGGACAAGCACAGTTCTGAAGAGGTCCATCTTTGATCATTCACCAAAGGGTGCTTTTGCAGGTGTGGGTCCAGGCACTGTCTCCAGGATGCTCCTCTGGAGAACCTGGACACGAGATGTACCATGGGCTATGCTTCCCATGAGGCAGAGAAGGGAGGAAGCAAGATGGGCAGTAGAGGAAAGTGCCGGGCCTAGGAGCATGGTGGCTCCCTTCTGTGTCCTTGGCCCAAAGAGGACATAGTCCTGCATGTGGTCAACTGGCCACTCAAGAGCTGCCAGGTGGCTGAGCCACAGCTTGTAGAAGCAGGTCAAGATGACTCTTAGCACAGAGGTTCCTTTTAGAGCTCCCCAAGGCCAGGCCTGCAGCCCTGCCTGGTCTATGTGGCTACTTTCCTACAGTGCCGGCCGAGAGGACCTTCCTCAGAACTCATTAGTCCATGGTGCAAGGACACCGCAATCTGCACTTTCTTTTCTCATAAGCTGTCTCCATTCTGCGGTGAGCCTTGCCCCCTAAAGGGCCTTGGAGAGGCAGCTGAGAGCTATTCAGAGCCCCTTCGTTTGTCCTTTCATCTTGGCTCCTCTCCACATGCCTCAGTGTGACTCCAATTTGTCACAGAGCCACCTGTGCTGCTGTGGGGTGTTTCCACCGCTGGCTCAGAGTAGGTGCCCAGTGGGATTCCTCCCGAAAAGCTGGCTTGTTAGAGTTCAAGGTTGTTGATTAGAGATTACACTATTTTGCAGAAAATCTGCACTAGGATCCTGTCCTGAAAAGCCTGTAGATTAAACCGAGAGAGCTCAAACTGTAAGTCAGCCTGCAGCAAAAGCACTTCCCAATCTCCATCGCTGTGGAGCCAGTTGGGTGAGACACATGTCCTATCCATGGAGACACTGCATGTACAACAGCAACGGAAGCCCCTGCTCTGTATTAATAGGTCTCAGAGCAGAGCGATCTTGGTTTTGTCAACAGGGCAGCAACTGTTGAGTCCATGTGCTTGTTCTCTCCTCATGCTGGCCTTCTCATCTTCTCAACCTGGTGGTCTTAGCATTTTCAGAAGATCTAATGGACGATCATTGACTACACACAGTCTAGCACAGCATTACTGGGCACTCATTAAGCAGTTATTCATTAAAGTGGAGGCTATCTTCAATGCCCAGCGCTATGCTGTCACAAGTGAGGCGATACAAGGAGCGTGTGTGCGTGTAGACATGGTTCCTTTGCTGATAATCACAATCCAGTCATGACAAGAACTAGTATCAGACTGGTGGACATGAGTTTGCAAGGTAAAAATAACAGTATGTTTTGAGTCCTTGAAAAAGGGTAAATAATTCCATGTCAAATTGCCATTTCACTCCTTTAATTGTCTTGGGCACTTTGGTTTCCTTTAAGAGTCTCCTGTTCAAACACGATCCAAGGAAGGGGAGGTCTGAAGGGCCAGGGGCTGCATATGGAATCGTCGATGTGGGGGGTCTTGGGATGCCCAGATTCCTGTTCCCACTTCTGGACCTCCTGGCTCGGCAGAGTTGGGGAGGCAGCCTGAGCATCACTGTGTTTTAGACAACTTGAGGTGGTTTTGACATGTGGCTGGGTTTAAGGGTTGTTTGCTATCTCATAGCAAGATAGAAATGGGGGTGTTGCCGGAAGGGAGAGTGGGATGTTGCCAAAGATCACCTTGCCTACTTTGTCATTTCACACCACCCAATAATTGTGATTTGCTCAGAGTCCCAAGGCATTCATGATGCCTGTGCTAACTACACTGGGGAGGGGTTGTACTCGGCCCCTCCTAGGGCTGATGGTGCCTGTAGTCTTGTTGGAATCATGTGGACTCCCCAACAAGTAGAGGAGGGTGCAGATACTGAGCCCTGGACTATGTAACCACACCCAACTCAGGGCTGAGCACAGGCGCTGAGGAGCAGGTGGCCTTTCTGGGTCCCTGTCACCCTTGCCTCCAATGCCACAACTTCCAGTCCCACGCAGGGTCCTACACATCCGTGTCTACACCTCCAGGCTGTAGCGAGCTCGACATGCCACATCTTCATCGTGCATCACCAAGCATGATTTCAATTACCTCCCACGCTCAGCAGTTACTGACACAGGAAACTGGAATTTTGATACTTTGGGAAGCGGTAGAAAATGGCATTGCCTCTGCACCAGCCCCCTGTAACTCTTGCTCCTGCCATGTCCTTTCAGTTGAGGTCCATAATGCCAGAGGCCCACACGGCTATGGGGAAGATCAAGATGAGATGTTGTGGGGAAGCTCTTTGTTCAAATCCCTAATTGTATCCTGATGCTTTCAGTGCTGACAGTTCTCAGGAAACTTCAGAAGGGGTGAGAGCTCGTCTCAGGGATGGTGTTATCGGGGACAGGCTGTGGGCTGGAGGTGTGCCCCACAGAAGGCCAGCCACCGAGGTCAGAAGCTACAAGGGGGCCGATGGCTGACATAGCTCAGGTCCATTGGGTGATGCTAGGTTGTATACCATGAGAAGAGGCAACCACTGGCTGCCTGGAGCCCCCTCCCTTGCTCATCCCCACCTCTCGGCCCACTCCCTGCTGGGGTCTTCCCTGAACATGGGACTCTTTACCAGAGGCTGAGAGATGGGGCAGTCCTTGTTCCTGCCACCAGCTGGCAGAAATGGGGATGTGTTTCCTGTTTCCTGGCTCCCAAAGAATGCCTGCTGCATATGGAGGTGCATCTTGCACCTGTAAATATGAATGTCTTGGTACCCTGCTGGTTTAGCAGTCATTCTCAACACAGTGGTAGTCCAGAAGCATTTTGGGTGCTTGTTAAAATGCAGACTTCTGAGCATCTTCCAGACTTTCTGGCTCATAGTCTCTGGGAGATAGGGCCAAAGAATGAGTATTTTTACCATGTTCCACAGATGATCTGCTTCGAGGAAAATGTTTTCGTGGCTCAATGTGAAAACATCACAGACGTGTACAGTGTTGTTTCTAAGGGCAAGTCATCTCTGAGAGAACGTTCTAGGGATTTTCCTACAATTGTGCATTTGGAATGACTTGTACTTTGAAACTCCACAGCACTGAGCTTTCCGCAAAGCACAGAGAAGAACGTGAGATGCTTGTGGGGTGCTGTGATGAATGTCAAATGGAAGGGTCTTGAGACTGAAATACTCCACAATCCACACGGCACCATGGTTGAGGAAAACTTTTTTAAACCTCCCGTGTTTTAGATGGGTCCTAAGGCACACTGCATTCAATATGAATGAAAGAAATAAGATTTTAGGCTGTAGAGACCCGAGATCATATATTAAATTGTAGGAAGGATCAGAAGGAAGAAAAAGAGACTGATTTTCAAAACTGACATATACCAAAACATGACACTTTTCTTCACTGATTAGTTCTATTTTGGCTGAATCTACAGTTAGGATATTTAATACTGACATTATTTTCCAGACAACAGTTTCTGTAGATAAAGTACAGTGAACTCAGGTGTAACTGCCCATGAAACACATTAGGACAAAACCAATAAATAAAATTAGAAATTCTTGGGCCAGCTCCAGTGGCCTAGTGATTAAGTTTGGCATGTTCTGTGATTAAATTTGGTGGCCCGGGTTTGGTTCTTGGGAGCGGACCTACACCACGCGTCTGTCAGTGGCCTGGCAGCAGATGTTAGCTCAGGGTGAGTCTTCCTCAGCAAAAAAACAACAACAAAAAAAGGAAATTCTTAGTAAAAATTACAATCAGTTAATGAGATAGGCAAGTGTCTTTTATTTTTATACAAAGCCATGGGGTTTGCAAATGTTTTACATCTTAATGAATATGTAACACAAAGAACTCTCCTTTTCCTCTCCTCTTTCCAGGCCTGGACTCACCGGCAGTCAATTTTTCTGGCTATTTTAGGCAACTCTGTCTCTTTCCTCCTGAGTCTGTCAGTTTCAAGGGGTGAGCATATGAACAACTCAAAACCTGGGTCAAGTCTTCCCCGCTAATCACTTCCCTACTGAGATCAACAGAAATAAACTCTTGATAAATTTAGAAAACAGTGATGCCTTTGTGCAACCCAACAGTGACAACAAAAGTCAAGCAATGCCCAAAATCTCAGGCATAGTCACAGCAGAAGCACAATTTGTAGAGCACATTGCTGAGGTTGCCCCATCAGCTCCCCAGTTCTGGTGCAGTTGGGAGTCAATAAACTAAGGCCGTGAGCCAGAGTGATTCTATCCTCAGGACTCATTGACGTTCCAGTGCAGTGTAAATAATTGATGGTGCCCAGTTGCATTATTTATGATGTTAAATGCAGCTACAGTGCCCTGGAATCTGAGCTGGCATTCTCAGGACTGGCAGGAAAACATGTTGCACTTATTTTAGTAGGGCAATACCCTTAGACAGGCATTGGCCCCTCTGGAGGAGTAAGTGGTCTGCTTGGGATTACATTTCAGAATGGGAACGGCAAAGACTACTTGCCTTCCTGATAGGAGCCAGCAACACGCAAGGTCCAAGGACACCGATGGGTGATCTGCTTGGAGTCGGTTCTCAGTTTTGCCCCTCTCTTTTAGAAGGAATGTGTGTTATTTAAAGAAAGTTAGAAATATTTTATGTTTTCATACAAAAGCTAGAATTTCCATAGGAAAATTGAAAAACAAAACAAAACAGTGAATCTTTGCAGTAATTTGCCTACATGCAAACAACTATTGGATTCTTTGAATTGGATCGTTCTTTAGGCCCTGAACTTGGAAACTTCTAGAGTGTGTGTTAATGAAAATAATGAAATAAAGGTAGGACCCGAGGTAACATTTTTATTCTTCTCTGCACCCTAATTTTATCTTATCTGAGGAGTGGAGCTTCCTTCTCAAGTGTGTCTTTTACAGAGATCTCAACCCACTAAATTGACCTTTTTCCCTTTGTTACCAGGGAACTGATGACCGTCAGCAGAGTCCAGCAAGTCGTTCACAGGTTTCCTTTATCATGGCCAGTCCTAGGAAGGTCAGGAATGTGACTTTAGTATAATCTAGTCATCCTTTGGGCTCCATGTTGCACTTGGCTGATGCCCTAATCAAGACAATGTCATCATTCCTCTCTGTCCCGAGGCTGGGCTCCCGCTTTGCCAGCATTACCTGGAAGAAGCGATATTGGAATCATCAGAACAGATATTTTATAGTGAAAGAAGGAATCCATTTTCCTAGCTTCCAGAGGAGAATTTGACGTTTAAAATGTTTCAAGATTTCAGTGAATTCTGCAAAGTGACTAAGTAAAAGCTGCCAATCCATCATGATAATGTGTCTCATCACTCAGCACTCCTGCCTGCTAATCCAATAAATGGTAGATAAGTCTACATCCTACCATGACTTTTAAAATGCTTTCATAATCTTAAATCACATGAAGATGATATTTATGTTTGTTTAATACGTGGGCATTATTGCATGTTATCAGTGGAAAAAGAGGATAAAAATTAAGATCAATCAGACGCCTAAAATTGCCTAGAAAATCAGAACTCGTAGGTTAAAAATAAGATTAAATTCTAGGGGTCAGCCCAGTGCCGTAGTGGTTGAGTTTTCGTGCTCCACTTCGGCAGCCCGGGGTTCACGGGTTCGGATCCCAGGCACGGACCTATGCACTGCTCATCAAGCCATGCTGTGGCAGCGTCCCACATATAAAGTAGAGGAAGATGGGCACGGATGTTAGCCCAGGGCCAATCTTCCTGAGGAAAAAGAGGAGGATTGGCAGCAGATGTTAGCTCAGGGATAATCTTCCTCACACAAAAAAATAAGATTAAATTCTAAAGTTGATGTACACCTTGCAAAATATCTCATTATTGGATATTGACATGAAAATATTCATCTTTTTCTGCTCCCTTATCAGCCTTGCTCTCACGTCCGCAAATGAGTTAGATGTGGATTATGCTTTGTAGGAGATGTCCCTCACCTACCACAAACGCCGTGAAAAAACTGGAAATGGGTAATGTGTTCTTTAATAAACAAAAGAGAAAACACCAAAAAACTTGTATTGCCTTTTTTAAAACTCTTTACTATTCAGATGGTAGTTTAAAGAATCATAGTGTTTAGGAATTCAGCATTTTCCAAAATGCAAAACAGGAGACTTCCGTAAAAAAAAAAAATTACTTTTCATGTAGATATTCTCAGGGGATTTCACTGCCCACCCCACGGCTTCATATTTAACCTAGAGGCACGACTATTATTTGGCTGAGCTCTGCACTGGTTAGAATAGATTCGTATGATGGTTAGTAATTAGCAACTGCTCTAAGCCCCCCATGCCCAACCATGCCATTGCCAAAGTAGAATCTGACTTGCAAAATGTGTTACGATTTTAGTGAATTCCTTAAAGTTACTAGATAAAAGATGTAAATTCATCATGATGATGTTTCTCATCACTCAATGCTCCTGCTTGCTAATCCAATCAAAGGTAGGCAAGTCTATATACTACCATGATTTATAAAATATTTTTATGATCTTAGATCACATTCAGTTCCTACCCTGGACCCCCTCCTATGAATCAACTAACTCAAAGGGTATTGGCTGGCACAGCATGGTGGTGGCAAGTATTTGTTCTGATTGGCTGATGCATATATAGCATCCATTCTGATTGGTCAATGCACATACAATATCTACTCTGATTGGGTGGTGTTTGTGCCTTACAGGTTGTCAAATGTTTTGAATATCACCACTGCTTAGAGGATTCTGAAAAGAAAGGTCATCTCTTCTAGGACTGTGTTCCTAATGTGAGGGAATTGGCTACCTATTTTCTTTGGTGTAGGAATAAAAATGCAGAATTTCAAAAACCCGTAAATATTGCTTTCCCATGAGTCCTTTTTATGGAAAAAATTGCCAATTAGACTACTTAAAAATGAGACTCTTGTTTATTACAATAACTTCTTTACTCTCTGCCAGTGTGATTCTGTCTCTCTTCACCATCCTTGAGTGAGTACAAGTCAAGGAGAAAGATGAGAAAGTTCATGAGGCCCTTTGGGCAGAGCAGTTCAATGAATAAAATCCATTTTCCTCACTTAATAGTTTGCTTTCCTTAAACCACCACAGAACACAGATCCCGAGACAAGGCAAATGTCATGCCATTTATGCCTTTTGTAACCTTTATAGAACCTAGCATTCTGTAGGCGTTTAGTAAATGTTAATATTACACAGGTCAATACTGAGAAAGACTGTATATTGAAGTATCATATTTGCCATCTGCCTGCTATAAAATTCATATTTAAGGAGTATTTAAGACTCCATTATTTTAGGAGTCGGGGGGTTGCATGTAGAATATAATTGAACTTTAAATTATGAACTCTGGACAATGCCGAAGGATCTTCACAGAAATTTCTCCAACTTAGTATGTGTTGGTTGAATCATGCTTAAAATATTTTTGTTTATCAGACTTTGGGAAGTTTTCCTGTGTCACTGATGAACAGGTTGTAGCTTGTTCCAGGAGTAAGTTTTCTCAAAGAGACCCCTGGCCCGTTTTTATTTCACAAGAGGTGGATAAGTTATTTGAACAGAACTGTCTAGAGCTGCACTGTCCAATCCCGTAGCCGCATGTGGTTATTTATATTTAAATTATTTGAAATTAAATAAAATGTAGGATTCATTTTCTGAACCCCACTAGCCACATGTAAAGTGCTCAATAGCCATGTGTGGCTAGTGGCCGTAGTATTGGACAGAGCAGATTACAAGTTTCACTGTTGCGGAAAGCTCTATTGGACAGTACTGACCTGGAGCTAGCTACTTGGAAATGACCTTAATGTGTCAAGGAGGGCTCTTTTACCCAAACATGCAATCCGTGTTTTCTCTCCGTGTTAGGTCTGAGCACTCGCCGGTTTCTATTTAGGAATCCTGCAAACCCCAAGACAGCCCTCAACTGAGAATGGGGTTTTGCTGATGTGGTAAATTCGTCTCGCACTTCTGCAATGCAGAGAGCTGAAGGAGGCTCAGTGGGATGGGGTGAGACGAGCCAATCACAGCAAAACATCACGGCCACGGGTGTTTCTCAGAAATATAGATACAGCACTCTGCTAATGAGTGGCTGGTGAAACTACAGATTTATTTAAACAAATACCTCTCAAAGCCTTGTGTCATAAAGTCCTAGCCAGGGACACCACACCTGCCCATGGTCATGGGGGTCTTTGATCTTGGTTACTCTGTCAGGTTCCAAGCCCGTGAAGTCAATGATCTTCCATGGTTTACTTAGAGTAGGACTGAAGTGATAATGTCGATACATCAAAGATAATTTGAGAGCTCAAATAGAAGCACTTCCTTTGCTCTGTGCTGCCTTGACCTTGGAAAACAGGAGCATTAAAATTGGGCTGCCAGTTCCCAGGGGTTTGATGACCTGAAAGGTGAATGAACGCCGCCGAGCATACAGGAGGTGCTGTGTCAGCATCTGCACCCTGCCATTTAAGGGCTTATGGTGTCGCTGGGGAAGAACACTCCATCCTCTGTAAAGAGGGCAGATACTCGTCTCTGTGGAACAGCTGAGAGCTCGGAGTTCAGAGACTAGAGAAGTAGCCAAGAGGCAAGACAGTAAGGAAGGGCTCAGGGGGAAGATAGAATAGAATAGATGGGTGGCCTAGCAGGCCTGGGGCAGAACTTGTGGGCCTGAGGAGCTGTTACCATCCATAGGGCTGAGGGGGCAGGGAGAGGTGGCTAGATCTATAGGCAGGGGGCCCCCGACAATTGCTGGACCTTAGGTAGAGGGACACAGCCAAGCCATGGAAATCAGGCATGGAGAGAGTCAGGTGATAAAGACTCCATCCCCTCCCTCTCCTGCTCATGCCTCCTGTTGGCCAAGCCTGAGCAAAGCCAGAGAGCCCACTGAAGTCATGGATGGGGAGGGGCAGGCAGAAGCTATCCAGCCAGAAGGATCTGGCAAGATTTAGGAAACAGAAATTAAGGAATGGGGGATGTGTTTGTGAAGTCATAGGGAAAGATGTTTTGCCTGGTAGCATTCCACTTTTCCATTCCTTGAGGATGAATCCATTTACCAAAAGAGGACACCAGTTGGAGGAAAGGAATTTGGCTGTGTTGAACTTGAATAGGTCATGCCTTGGGTATCACATCAGTAGAACAAAGGGATTGGATGGTGGACCCCTTCTGGCACTTACCTTTGTGGAGATGTTCACACACACACACACACACACACACACACACACCCCTGCCCCATCCTCATCTGACATGGCCCAGCTGTTAGGACCGAGGCTGCTTCTGTCTGAATGTGTGCAGGCGTCTTTCATCCCTGCAGCACTGGGAGGGAGCTGTGTTCGTCTGCAGTTAGTAAATATTTAATTCTCACCCAGCAGAGCCTGTCAATCACGCTCTGGGCCAGGGCCTCCGGAGAGACTCACTCTCCAACATTCATGGAGCTGGGGCTCCAACCTCCAGGCCTGGATCTGGACAAAGTACAGAGTTTGAGGCAGCAGGCTGGGTGCTGAGCTGAAAGCAACCCCACAATCGTCTTCCCTCTTTTGTTGGGCGAGCCGTGTTATTTGTAAAAATACAATGAGATTCTGAACCTGGGGACTGGTGGGAAGATCTGTGAGATTTATTGCCCCATCAATGGCTTCAGACTGCGAGATTCATGCCCGGCCTTATAATCATACTGGGTTGACACAGCAGAAAATTTATGAGATTCCAGTAAAGTCTGTGGGGAAATGGTTGCACAGAATGTACTGATTACATTTCTCTTCAGAAACCTTAAGAATGGATGACATTTCATAGCGTACCTTAATTTGGGAACAATTGGTAATATTATATTTCAATTTCATGGCTAATAAAGTCTGAGGTAGTTCAATTAATAGCAAATTATTGTCTAAATAAAAAACTAATTTTAAAAATTACAATTGATATAGTTTTCTTTTTTTTTTTCTCAGAAAGTGCAAATTGGACTGGCTTAGGTGAACTGTGCTCAGCCTGAAGGCTCGTATTATGGCAGAAGCAGGTGATAGAAGAATGCACCTGTGCCTTCTGCCCCCTCGCAGTGGTGTGGTATGCGTGTGTGTGTGTGTATGTTTGTGTGTGTGCTGTGCTTG